TAGCAGCGGATAGTAATCACTTTGTCCCGCCATTGCATTAGATATTTCATACACTGTTTTCGAACCCACGACCACAAAGTGGCCTTGGTATCGGCCAATAGGTCACCACTGATTGTCTTTGAGTAGTTCTCTTATAAGAGTCGGTTAAAAACAGTGGGACCCCCCCATACAACAGGCATGATTTTTTTCTGTTTTTGTTGATTGGTAGGGAATCTTTCGTCGGCGAGTCGGTTTTTCGGCTTTAGTTTTTGTTCTTAACCAATGAGTTTTATCGATGTAACTACCAATCCATAAACTCGCAACTCTTGCTCGCAATATAAAAGTTAACAGTATGAGATCTTATTTGAAAGATTGTTAATGTTTTGTACTTTGATGTTAATTACAATGTTTGTATGTTATCTTTATTACTATTTTTTACTCATATTTTTGTGACTTATTCGTTTAGCGGTTTGGTTTTGTAATGAGAGCAAGCGAAAACACACAAACATTCGATTCTTTAATTATCAGTGCGGTGATACATTTTTCGTACGACGGTACACAGCAGTCCGTTTGTAACGAGACGTCGCGACCGCGGCTATTTAATGGATCGTTAGCGAATAACCGCCTTTGAATCGATTGGCGCGTGACGGTGACCACGCCGGTCATGTCCACTTGTGTCCAGTCGATTGTTATCCCCTTTTATCACTTTTTAATTTGTAATTAATCACTACATAGTATGAAACAAAGTGGTCCCGTTGTCTGTCTGTCCACTAGATAGAGTGATGCAAGAGGAAGATTTATATGTTATAGTATCAGCATTGCATCCGTGCTAAGTCGGGACGCTAGTTTTATATATGTATATCTTTTAACCGAACATTAACCGATGGTGAAGTATGGTTTTCGTGGTTTTCGTTCCCCCTCCTCCCCACTAGATGGAGTGACGACTTGTGGAAACGTGCGGGAACTGGATGGTTGCTGGTGGCTCAGGCTTCAGTAGTGCACTCCAAAAGGCTGAAATGATGATGATGAAACTGCCTATTTCGGCGAGCAATCTCTTGTTTCAAATATGAAGGAAGTTGATCTGTACTCAGGTTCGTGTTTCGTGACAGTCTGTGGAGGCCTGTGTTCGGCAGAGGGCTCGAACAGTTTGAAATTATGATGTTCTCCTTTTCCCTTCGCTGCTGCAACATTCTAGGACTTTATACGATCCAACAATTATGTTACATGCTTCACCCAATTCCTATACTACAGTTTCAATCTCCAGCTCTTGCATTTTCAATCAAATAAAACCACCCTTTATGTCTTCATCGAAGTGACATAGAAGTTTAAGGGTAAGTTTAAAATGAAGGGGTTATTAATAAATTGCAGCATATGAATATCGATCACCTAATGGCAGTGCCATTTTAAATGTTAATAAAAAGGAATTCACCTTTAGCTCTTCTATTACATAACTTTTTTGTGGATAAATCATTTCAATATTGCGTAGTAAGTGGAACGCTAATACGACAATTAAATATGATCTTTACTATTTGTTTTTTGACCAAAAATTATGATGAAAGATCGAAAAACACTTAACTTGGAAGGATTTTAGTGTTCCACCAACAGTCAAATCCGAAATGGAATAAATTCATGGCCTTCGCCGAAATAAATGCATCGAATCCAAGTCGTCAATCGGAAGAGGCCAAAGAGGAACAACCGAATCGCCTTGCCGCCGTGCTTTTTCAATTTGTTTTACGTCCGACTGAACACTAATCATTCAGCGCAAGGCTGAGTCACGGGAATGATAATCGAACTGGTGGTTTAAAAAAAACTATGGTTCTTCAGTTTCTTTTTGCATACCGTTGTTTATCTTCCCCGGCGGATACTCCGGGTTCCAAGATACAGGCACCGCCTAGTTTGGGAGACACAGTGTACACCATGTTTCTTTTGTTGTGTAAGTAACCCTAATTAGATATAAATTCTCTGCATTGCTATTACTATACAAATTAAATAAATATTGTATCATATTAATCCAAAATGATATAACCTATAAATATCTTATCCTTTAAACGAGCAATTCTTGTGTGTATATATATATATATATATATATATATATATATAATCGGAATCTCGGAAACGGCTCCAGCGATTTTCATGAAATTTTGTATGTGCGTAGATTCGGGGGCGAAAAATCGATCTAGCTAGGTTTCATTTTTAGAAAATGTCCTTTTTTTCCTGTTTTCAGGGAATGAAAAATATAATTCGAATATGACAGTAAATTTCGCCGCAAGAGAAAATGTCATAATAGCTCGGTCGGTAATCGGGCGGCCCCAAAACAGACGGCCGTGGTTCACGTCACGATCAATTTACACACTCTTTTTTTTTACTTTTTTTTTTCTATTCCAGATCATTGCTTTCTTTATTTTTAATTTTTTGTCGATTTGTTATTTTGTTACTATTTTCCCTTTTTTTTAAAGTTCTTTCTTTTGTGAAAAACATCAGTTCATATTTTCTTATTATTACGTCGGTAAGATCGAAAAATATTATGCATATTTCATTACTCAGTAATTTATATTGAAATGTAATTTCCAAAATACACGATTTACCAAAAAAACAAACCGAGCAAAGCTCGGTCCTCCGGGTACTTATCCTTTAAACGAGGTTTCATTTTTAGAAAATGTCATTTTATCCCTGTTTTCAGGGAATGAAAAATATCATTCGAATATGACGGAAAATTTTGCCGTAAAAAATAATTTGAAATAGCTCGGTCGGTAATCGGGCGGCCCCAAAACAGACGGTGGCGGTTCGTATCACGATCGTTTAGCGAATACCGCCGCCCATTGACATCTGCTACACCCGAGGGTTACAGATGCGTTGACAACCTTTTGAAAATTGGGCTCCGGCTACCTCACTCACCAGACGAAACGCGAAAGTATTATACTTCCGCTTTACGCCGGTCTTCTGTGAGGTCGTGGTACTTACCAGGACGAGCCTGCCCATTCGTGCAACAGCCGAGGCCGCTGCGTGGCCCTACCACCGTTTGGCTAGCGTTAATCCAATAACGTTCGCTTTTTAATTTTTTCAATTTGAAGTATTTATGGTTAACTGGAAATAGGCGTTTTGTCAGTTAGGACAACGATTAAAATAAAAATGTATTCGTTATTAATGTTTCTTATAGTAGCTATGCAAGGCAAAACCTCATTTGCTATACGTTAACCACCTTTGCAGTAGATAATACTTGTGATTCGTTTTATAAAAGTCATCGCTCGTCCAAATATTTTCACTCGACTCATTTTATTTACAGGAATCTCTTCGGGTGGTCCAATGTTCCCTCGATGTTATTGAAGACCGTAACGGAATAAATCATAGCAAGGTTTCGTTTTCATCGGGCATCTCTCTCGCTCGGTAATTATATCCCGGTCACTTGAGCTTGTTGAGATCGGCCGGCCCGATGCGTACATAATTATATATACAGTATAAGCACACTCGTTGTGTACAACTCGACCGTCTGAGACATCGGCGCCCACGGGTGGTACTTGTGAAATATGAATAGGGCCACCGGTGCCGCGAAAAGAATTTGAAGTCTCTGAAAATAGAAGGGCCAATAAGAGATACGAGATTCTTCGAACCTTTTTATCTTTATTACTGTGATATTTACTTGTATTCTATACGTAATACCACATTTAATATCTTCAAAAGAGAGCTGTCCGAGCAATCTATGTATAACATCGGAGCCCGGAAGACACTCAGAGATATTTTTAAAGAGATTAATATACTCACTATTGCGTCCCAATATATTTATTGTAATATTTTGTATGTTAGACATAATCTTAATTGTTATCTAAAGAATGGTGACAGACATAAACTAAATACTAAAAATAAGGACAAATTAATTACGCCATCGCAAAGTGTGCGCATGTATAATAAAATCCCACAGTCGATATTAAGTCTGCCACTAGAGCAATTTAAACGCAAAATTAAAAGTGAACTTATGGTTAAGGCATATTATACCATTGCGGAATATCTTGACGACGCCAATGTGAGGGGTTAATACTGTTGATACTCACGTAGGCTAAAATAAGACATACTTGTTCTATTATATTGTAAACTAATTGTTTTAAAAAAGAACAACTGTTGAGTTTCTTGCCGGTTTCTTCTCAACAGAAACTTCTTTCCGAACCGGTGGTAACTTACGACCGTATTAATTTTTATGTAAAATTTTGACATTTCATAAGAACGCGCAAACGTCTATGTGATTAAATGTATTTTGATTTTGATTCTTTGATTTTGTATATCAAAGTTTTTGAAAGAACTACAATCAACGTAACCCTGTTAGCTAATTGCCGTCAAGGGCGAAAAGCCTTTTGTATATACAACTTTTTTTTTTTAATTTGGAATGTTGAAGTTTAACTGTGGTAGGGCCAAGCAACAGTTTGCTGTTGCACGAATGGGCCGGTCCAGATGGAAGTGTTATACTTTTGCGTTTCGTATGGTGTATGAGGTAGACGGGGGCCAATTTTTCAAAAGGTGGCAACGCATCTGCAGCCATACGGGTGTTGCAAATGTCAATGGGCGGCGGTTATCGCTTAACATCAGGTGAACCGGCCAGCTCGCTTGCCAACTTTTCACTAAGTTTCTGTAATAGGTACTTCTTTATTTTAACGCCTATTTATACAGCGTGTCTTTACAATCTTATTGTATACATGCTGTATAATGTATACTTTAATGGAAAATAAATGATTGAACTTACACAAATAATCAGTAAATATTAAAGTAATAATAAGTACCAAGATCAAAAGCCTCGACCCTGGCATTACACAAGATTTAGGGCATTGAAATATAAACACTTACATTCGTTATTTCAATTTAGGTTTATGCGTCCAAAGTTTTCTTTGCGAATTAATATTTATTGATAACATACTCTACTTTCGTCCACAGATCGAGGCATGTCCGAATTGTGACGCATCGGGAACTGTTCAAGGGGCCGATGGACTGAGAACCACTTCAAACAATTGAATCGATAACGAGTAGTAAGTCACAACATGTCGCACCACTTGGTGACCGTCTGCATGTTCTGTCTGCTGTGCGCGGCGCACACGTGCGGATCCCACGTCGACGTGCACAAAGAAGCGCAAGCATACGAACCGGAACTCAAAGACACGGAGCACATGATGGCGGACCTAGGCAAGAGAAGAATAGAGTCGAGGCTGCGTTACCACCAGAAACTGCAGAAGATAAGGCAGAAGAGGGAAGTGAGGAACATAAACCCGAAGACGTACGTCGAGCAGATATTCAGCATGTACGGCGACGCAGAAACCACGACGATGAACCTGACCGGTTTCAACAAAATGCTCGAGGACCTGGAACTGCACAATTTGGTCGAGGGCGGCGTTAAGAAGACCGAGCGGAAGGAGTATATCTACGGCGATGAAACTAAAGAAGAAGTGGTCAATGTGAGTGTCATTTTATGAAAAGTTTGGCTAGCGTGTGGCGCGAAGTTCGGAGTAGCGTGGAGTGGCAGAGGTGTTGCCAATTTAAGGAAAGGCTTGGCTTACCTCACATACCAGACGAAAAACAAAAGTATTAAACTTCCACTTCACACGGGTCTCTTGTAGACACGGTACTTCCCGGAAGAGCCTGCTCAGTTATTCAACATCAGAGGCGGGTACGTGGTCACACCATAATGAATATATAAATAGAGGTCCAAACCTCTTAAGTATATAGTTTTCTTTGTGTGTCTTTTATCTTTTCACAAGACAAAACGTTAATATGCCGTTTAGCTCAGTGGCTAGAGCGTCAGGCAGCGAATGCCGAAGACGTGGGATCGATTCCCACAACGGCGACAATCTTTTCGCACTTTTTCTACATATTTTAACGTTAATATACCACTAAAAATCAATATTCTTTCAACCGTTTAGACATTTTTCGTTGTTAGATTGTTTTACCGATCTTTGAACCCGGTAACATGTGGTCACCAGATCATGCATTGAGAGGCAGTGATTTTTACACATAATTATGCTGGATACACGAAAACTAATTATCAGACACGCCACAGGAATTAGAAACCGTTATCCTAAATCGCGAGTTGACGCTACCATCATGTTTAGGAATGAAATGTGTGACAGGTAGTGACTTGATTTTGCTTCCTCTTAATGTGCTTATTGTTCCAACAGTGCGTTAGCAGCGCGGAGCTCGTCACGACAGTGAACAATAGGCTAAATCCGCACGACCACGACCACGGACACGGTCACAGCGGCCACGAAGCGGAGAGCCACGTGTCCGAGGAGACCCTACGGGCCATCTGCCCCATCCTACTGTACCAGAAGTTGGCAGTCACCTCGCTAGAGAAGTTGGGATGCGTGAAAGAGCCGAACCTACTCGAAACGAGGATAGGGAAGGAGCTGAAACCGTCGGAGAACGCGTACACGAAGAACATGTTCGCCGTCTGGCTGTACTCGTCGCTGAGCATAACGGCAATAAGCGCCTGCGGCCTTCTCGGTGTCGCCGTGATACCGATAATGCACAAGACGTACTACAACCACCTGCTTCAGTTTCTAGTGGCTCTCGCCGTCGGCACTCTGTGCGGTGACGCGCTCCTCCACCTAATGCCGCACGCTATGAGCCCCATGGAGCACGACCACGGCGGCGGCGATGGCTCCCACGACGACGGCATGTGGAAGGGGCTAGCCGCCATGCTGGGCGTCGTCTTCTTCTACTTCACGGAGAAGGGTCTGACGGTGGTCGTCGAGTGGAGGAAGAGGCGCCAGAAGCTGGAGGAGGACAAGCTGCCGAGCCGGGTGCGCGTGCTGAAGGACGAGACCGTCGGCGGTTGCTCGGGCGGCTCCAAGGCGGCGATAACCAACTCGACGTCGAACAACATAATGAAGATATTCAAGAGGGACGATAAGGGAGATCCCACAACGAAGACGTGCAAGCATAAGTACTCGGAATACCCGTACTGCTACGACGAGATCGACACGGATACACACGACGAGCACCACATGAGGGACGGCCTCCCGCCCAGCCCGAAAGCGACCAAGAAGCACAACAACTCCGTGAGCGTCGTCTCCTCGAACGCCCTCAACCCCGAGGGCAAGGAGAACGAGCCGACCGCCAAGGATTGGCTGCTGAAGGCCGAGTCGACGCCCGCCGTGGTCGAGATGAACAACATCAAGCACAAAGAGGACGGCGCGAAGGACCTCAAGGATGGCGACAGCTACACGGTCATACTCAGGTGAGGGTCGACTACTCCAACGGCAAATTTTAGTATTCTATCTACAGACAGATTTGGTTGCTAGCGATTGGTATTTGATTAGCGCCATTATATCTCCAGTACCAGATCTATCATTAGACAGAATATTGTAACCGGTCATTAGTCTTTTAATCTTAAAGTAAAGTAGAAGTCTATTTATATGTCCCAGAGGTGGGCAAAGGCCCACCATTGCAGATTGGTGTACTTGAAATATATCTTCGAAATATTTTTTATGAAAATATGCAGGTTTCTCACGATGTTTTCCTTCAGCGCTGAGCACGCGACAAGTGAGCACTTAAATTTGCAATTCACATTTTCATTAGTGTCGCCACTGGGATTTGTACTCAAGCTGCTCGAGTATTGAATTAAGATCTCTTACGGTCACTTTTGCCGGTGCCCACGAATTATGAAACGATTTTCACATCTCAAATGTAAGATCACGTAACCTTTTCATCCCGCTTTTGCGTACTAGGCTAATCTTACAGTTGGGCTAATAATCAGATCTTGCTCTACTTACGTTTCGACCAAATCGCGTCTAATAAGTCGCTAACGGTTGAATTCGCTTGGGCCAGTAGGATATGTTAACACACCAATTCACACTTCCACAGCACGTCATTGCTTCGGCCAGTTTTTGAATCTGTTTCTTTGCATAACATATCCTCATGTCTTATAATACGTCCTGTACATTGACTTTACTTCAATCTTGATAGAGAACACTTTACTAAAGTACAAATTGGGTTCCAGTATGTAATGTTCCTGTATTCTATACCCTAATTGATTCGGTATCTAAATTGTTCCCATATAAATCTCCAGTGTTTACTGTAGGGTACCCCATACCTTTTACGCAGGGGTTATGAGTGAGAGCGTAACATTATTTGGTGCTAGGACGTAAAACAAAATCGTTTTATAGTATACACACGATAGTTTCGCGATTATTCAATTCAACATCATACTGGCAACTGCGCCACGGGGATCATCACGCACTGTAAACTTTTTTTTATGCTAGAAGGTGGCAAGCGGGCTAGCGGTTCACCTGATGTTAAGCGATAACCGCCGCCTTCAGACATTTCAACGTTTTCAAATGCGTTCCTACCTTTCAATAAAGTGGCCCACGGCTACCACACTCACCAGACGAAACGCAGAAGTGTAACCACTTACTCTTCACGCCGGGCTTCTGTAAGGTCGTGGTACTGACCCTGGACGGACCTGTCAACTGTTAAAGGGTTTATACGGACGACGGGTGCAGAAGCCAGTACCTTGGCACCAGCCCCACGGTCATGTAAACTATAAAAGGGTACATCACCCTCAGGCTCTTGCTCTGCACTTGCAAGTCCCCCGGCTCCTGCTAATTTTATACTTAAGTAATTTATAAAAAAAAATATACGACCGCAGAGTTTCTTGCCGGTTCTCTGTCAGGTCTAGTTTGTGTAGCAGTGAACCGGTGGTAGTTTTTGACGTTCCATAGGATCCTATAAAGGAGTTTTGACTTTTGACTGACAAAGGGAACACTCGCGAGCCCACCACGGCCACTCGCACGCGCACGGCCACGTCCACGCGCCGCCGTCCTCTCTCTCCTCGGTGGCCTGGATGGTCATCATGGGCGACGGCCTGCACAACTTTACGGACGGCATGGCGATCGGTGAGTGTTCCGTTTCTGGACGGTTGCGATTGGAGGTTTGTTGGCGGGCTGAACAGCGCTTACAGGGGGCCGCGGACTAAGGGAGGACAGTGCCACCCTGGATATCCGCCGCCGGAGATCGGGGTGCAGGATAATTGGCCTTCGCGCGCAACCCTCCCCCCTGATAGTGAGACTCGAGCGGTAGTCGTTGGGGTGCCCGTCGCACAATATGGCGCTTGTCTGGGATGCTTTTTTATGAAAAAAAATATGGGGCAAACGAGTAGGAGGCTCATCTGATAGAAAGTGATCATCGTCACCGAGTTTACGGAATTCACCTTATATTTTTTAGTAAAACTTTTCGTCTTCCAGGTGCTGCCTTCGCGTCCAACATTGCTGGTGGCTTCTCCACAGCGATTGCAGTACTCTGCCACGAGCTACCACATGAATTAGGTAAGTTGTGAGTAGAGAGTAATGGGTCATCAACGATAAAACTTTTATTATTCCAATTATTAACTACTAGCTTTTCGGCCGCGGCTTCACTCGCGTTGAAGGCCTTAAATAAATATCTTTCCTTAACCATTCAACCTTTTGCAAAACAAAAAATAGCCTATGTCCTTTCTCAGGCTCTAGACCATCTGTGCACCAATTCATTTAAATCAGTTCAGTAGTTTTGGCGTGAAAGCGAGACAGACAGACAGAGTTACTTTCGCGCTTATAATATCAGTAGGGATTATTATTTCAGTTTATTAAAAGATGGCATAGCAATCAGCAACCCTACGGGTGTCGCAATCGTCAATAGGCAGCGGTTGCCACTTAAAAAAAAAAAAAAAAAAAAAAGTCCGGTTAACTGGCAGCTCGCTTGCCACCTTCTCACATGGAAAAGAGTGAAAATAGTGAGATACATGACAGTCACACGCCCGAATGTACGCCGCCAGGCGACTTCGCGGTGCTCCTGAAGGCGGGCATGTCGGTGCGCCGCGCCGTCTGCTACAACGTGCTCTCGTCGGCGCTGTGCCTCGCGGGCATGGTCTGCGGGGTGCTCGCCGGCCACGCGCCCTCCGCCACCAGGTGGCTGTTCGCCGCCGCCGCCGGCATGTTCCTCTACATCGCGCTCGTCGACATGGTGAGTGGGCGGGGGCGACACTGCGTGGGGGCCGGGGGGGGCTGGGGGAACACCCTCTTCGGGCACGTCTCTTTCAGACACTTAGAGCGTTGGGGGGGGGGGGGGGGGGGGATTTCTCTTCAGGCGCTTTGGAGCGTTTCGGGCACGTGGTGGCTCTATGTGTGCCTCTGCATCGCGCTCGTCGTCATACTGAGTGTGGGGAAGGGAGACTCTTTTTCGGGCACGTGATGGGTCGGCATAGTTAGGGGCGAAGAGGAGCTGGGGGATCCCCTCTTCGGGCACGTGGGTTTGCGCCACGTGCCTGTACATACCGCTCGTCTACTTGGTGTAGTGGTGTAGTCTACGGGTGGTGGAGTGGGGGGCGCTATCCTTCAGGCGCTCAGAGCGTTTCGGGCACGTGATGTGTGGGGCATGTTCCTTCCCATCGCGGCTCTTCTCGAGCAAAGAAGAGTCTTAGAGCGTTTGGAACCCGTAGGCGAGTGGAGCGTTCCTCTGCATCGCCTTCATCGACATGGTCAGTGGGGAGGGGACTTCTCTGTGGGCTCCTAGGCGTTTCGGACACATGATAATAGCACAACTGGACCGAATGATACCCTGTGCTCACCACGACCGCCTGTGCTAAGTGAAACGAAGGGTGCGGATGCTGTAAAGTTGGACCGGCGTGAAGTATTTATATTTGTATGTAGTACGTAGAAAAACCTCAGTGTAAAAAAAACTTTCCTAATGATTTATCGCGTGCGTTTTATTGTTTAATATTTCATTTCTGTTCATGTAAGTTTTCGTATAATCAAAAACTTTCGGACTTAGTGTATAAATAATCATATCCTAAATAAACATATCACTCTCCAATTCCAGATGCCCGAGCTGAGCACGTCGCACAGCAAGGAGGGCACCCTGTGCCAGTGCATCCTCCAGCTGATGGGGCTGGCTTCGGGCATCGGGATCATGCTCGTCATCGCCATGTACGAGCACGACCTTAAAAACCTGTTCGGGTGAATAGTGTTACAAGTTGCCAGTGTCGTTAAGCGAAAGTGCAATCCTAAACGTTAAAGCAATAAGTGTCAAATTGGAACGAACGCGTCGCGGATACGTGTTGGCGCGGAGGAATTTCGAATTTGTAGTGTAAGTGATTTCCTAACTTCAATTATATTGGGGTCTTTAATTTGTACGTCGCTAGGGTCATATTGACCCACGTGTAGGCTAGATTAGTGTGCAGAGCGTATTGGTTCACCGCATTCTCAACTTCCCGGAGTCTCATCAGCGTCAGGAGAAAGTACAAAGTGAAATTTGTCATTATTTAATTTATTGCTCATTGTAAACAGTACACCGCTCCATAAGCCACCGCAGTATGGTGGATATCGACATTTATTTAGCGTACGCTATAACTGGTGCTTCAGGACACATCCTCCGTTCCGTTTTCCTCAAACGGAGTAAGCAGTTCCTAAGAATGTATATTGTTTCACTTTCCTTAAGGAATCCGAGTGTTCTAACTTAATAATTGTGATGTACTTAGGCAGTGCTCAACTTCTCTACTTTATAAAGTGTAAGCATTAACTTAGAAAATACTTAATCATGTAACATTTACTTAAATAGGATTTGTAATAAAATATATAAATTTGTGGACACGTGTAAGTTATTGTCTAACAATGAACCTTTAACACATAACAGTACTAAAACTATTAAGTATGTACTTAATCATCAAAAGTAATAATCTGGGCAAAATTATACATTTTTGAATTGAATAGATACTAGTGTGTACATATATAATGTTTGACAATGAATTAAATGTTAGTTTCGTTGATATCAAACATTTTGTACATTTGATAAACATATTAAAGATGATTTCCATGTACTTTAGTAGGTGAACAAGTGGTTATGTAATTTGAGGATTGATATTTGACTCTTATATAAATAAACAATATTGAGAAGAGAATGAAATTTTAAATGGAAAAAATGGTTTCAATTAATAACTTAAGACTGTAAATTGTCTGCTGAATAAAGTTGCGAGATATTTGTTACAAAGTGAATTGAATATTGATAATATATTATATGTTTACTATTCCGACACTTCTTAATAAAGCAATACATGAGTTTATATGTTATATTATAAATGTTATTTATCATTTTAGCAGATGAAAATACCTAGTGGAATTATCACACATTAAAAAATAAAACATGTTTCAGTGTGTTATTTAAAATTACTCAATATATTTTGTAATTTACATTACATTACCGCAGTAACAATTCAGTGGTTTGCTGACCAACTCATCATATCTTTGGAGCTATATATTACTTACAAGTGTAGCTATCACAAAGCTATTCTTTCTGCTTCCTCCTTTTTGGTGTAATGTCTCTAAGGATTTTCTCTTAGGAAAATTGTGCCTTAAAAGTATAAAACGCAACTTTAAGCGATGGTCTCAACACCAATTTCAAGTTTTATCCCAATTTATGTTCATTATAATTTGATATCACTTCTAAATGTCATTCAACAACCACATCTTTCACTGCCCATACTTTTTGGAACATTGGTCACTTTTCAATAATGTTGTTTAATTTTTTATCAATGCTTTATTAGATGAGCCACTATTAACTGACTGTTTCATTGATATCAAAACAGTATTAATTGCTTTTTTTAAGTATAAAATGTCACATTGTGCATTTTTGTATTGGTAACTTTAGTGAAACATGATTTTATTAATGCAAATCCATTAACAAATCTGTTGCGAAGAATCCTAGAGTCGGACAAAAGGTGTGATGGTAAAAATATGTTTTATATTCTTTGTTATTTTATCAAAATCGCTGGTGTACATGTTGAGTGATAATTGTGTGCTAAAATATATGTAAAGTAACATTGTGATGTTCGTGTTGTGACTAAGCCAACGGCAAATTGTGGTTTTCTGTGTCTGAAATTCTTTACATGGTAGCATTACCTTTTTAGATTTTAACTGTACCCATTTTCTCTTGAATCGTGGCGTTATTGCTGATATTACAAAAGCCATTGTTTTCCAACATTGTTAACCGGATATGTTTTTTTTTTTTCAATTCACTGTATGGACTTGACGTAAGTGCCGAGCACCGTTTGTGCCCTGGCAATTATACTCATGTATTAAAATAGAACCTGTTTCTTAAAAGAAGATGATAATTTAAACAGTTTTCCTAACTATATTATTGTAAGGTATGTTTATTTCCAATTGTTCGCCAGTGATAAAATTTTAGAAGATTAACATAAAAATGAACATATCTTCTTGAGTTTAATCAATTTGCCTTAGGCTTATGACTTCTAGGAAGGAAATGTTTGTATTTATATGTAATGATGTAGACTAAATTAGAAAATGGATTATTTTCGCATGTTATTACCAGCGTTTTTTGCTTTTGTTAATTGATATGATAATTTTGAACGAGGTGTCCACATTTTAACACTTTAATTTCGTTGCTAATGTATTTTTTAAAACAGGATATTGCATTGCTCGACCGCCCATTCACTGAGTAGTCAACAGTTATACAACTTAATTTATAAATCTCAGCAGAAATTGGCATTACAAAATCAAAGAGTATTAAGCAAAGAAAAATAAACTTTACATATGGCAGAGTTCGCCAACAAGATCTACAGGCAAGTAATTTACAATTACATATATTTCATTGCATAAATTTTTCTGTAGATTGTGTAATTGTTGAGGTAATTGCAAAAGCGAATTAATTTTAATAATCATGTCGGGCTATATTTTTTATTTGAGTTTCAGCAATAAACACCAAACTTTAGTTTGACTAAAATACCAGTGTACAGTACCGATATTGTGAAAAGATAAAAATTTCAGTTTTTGATACAATTATATTGTAAAAATAACTTTGCGTCAACGAAGAAACCTAAAAGTTTCTAAAATTAACCTTTTAGCAGTAAGAGTGATAAACGAATGAGTGGTGAAGAGCTATATTGTAATATATGAACTATTCGTAACAACCACCTAGTTTCATTTTTTACTATTTACCCGGAAATGCCCATTCGTGTCTCCGCGATTTTCTTCAACAATTAAAAAAAATCTTAATAATATCTTTAGTCAATAGGACTTTATTCATATACAAACATCGGCTTATCAACTAATGCACATAATTTTAATAAAGAGATTGTGTGTATGTGGGAGATTTAGGGCGTCACTCGTTTGGGGTCGCGCGGGAACATTGAAGTCTTGCGGATGTTGTCCAAACCGAGGTACAGCATCACAACTCGCTCCAATCCGATGCCGCCGCCTGCAGATAAATGAATTAAGAAGAAACTTTGCTTCACAGAAACAGCTGGCATTTCAGATTGTACCGAAATTTAGTGGCAGGAGCATTTATATGACCATTCTAACCGGAATAATTAGATTTATCGATTCGGTTATGGTTATTAAGATACCTTACCCGCGGGAAGATCTTATGACGACGGAAATAATTTACAAAATTTAATTTTCTAAAAATTAAAATGACGATAACAACTGAAATGGGAAGTGTAAACTGGGTGTTTATTTACAGGACTACTCTACGCGGATTAAGTTATAAATCACTAACTTCTCACATATCAAACTGATGATATAGTTATAAGCATTAAGTAAAAATTTTATTCATGAAACTTACAATGGCTAACGGGTTGTTACAAAAATAAACCATAACCAGTTTACATATTGGGGAATATTTTTCTATATTAAAAGTTAATTACTATTATGTATTTGTAATTCTGGCCGTATGAGGAAGCCGAAACTCTCTCAGCAATGAGCGTTTTAGTCTTGATAGGATTCGGAACGAGGACGTCTAAAGTAGAACAAAGGTAACCAACGTAGAACAGAAAATTATTAACCTGGAGTGGCAATGGACATAGCTCGTAGAACTGATGACCAACGGGGAAGAAAGGTTCTCGAGTGGCAGGCTCGTATAGGCGATATAAGTATAGGACGGTATGCGGGAAGTAGGTGGATGCCGGTGGCCGTCTGACGGTGAGGCTTATGTTCAGCAGTAGACTTTGACAGGCAGAAATGATGATTTGCAACGTTTTACCTGCATGTGGAGGACACCCCAACCTAAACGACTCGATGTACGCGGCGATCTTGCTGATGTCTGTAAAATTATAAAAAGATACATTGTATTTTGTTAATGACAAAGTAAACTATTGCCACTACAGAGGGTTATGCTCGCAGTTTATTTGCGTGATAATATCCGGAACGAGGATATTGGGAAGAAATATTTAAATTAAAAAAAAAAAAACAATTTTGTCTTTGGACTAATGCTAATACTATACACAAAGATATGACACTAGCGCATCGAAAATGAGGCACTCAAATTACACCAACTGGTGTAACGATTTTTATATCATAGGTTTGTCTGTCACATTCACTCATGTCATTTAATGTATTGTAAAGCCGAACAATTTTGAAACGCGGCGCAGTAGAGACACGCGTCATCTATATTATTTAATATCATTACTTTGGACTTTGAATCGTGTTCAAAGGATTGAATCTATAGGGTCTTATGAGAATACTGTTGCAAGAACGGCCAGGTCTGTCCGGTTAAGTGCCACGACCTCACAGAAGACCGGCGTGAAGTGGATACTTCGTTTCGCCTCGTGAGTGAGGTAGCCGGGGCCCACTTTATTAAAAGTTGGCAACGCATCTGCAGCGCAACGGGTGTTGCAAATGTCCACGGGCGGTGGTTATCACTTAACATCAGGTGAACTGCCAGCCCGCTTGCCAGCTTCTCACATAAAGAAATAAAATAAAAAAGGCACACGGGAAGGTGAGTGAATAAAGGTTTTTTGTTACCTCATTCCTACGAGGCGGTGGAACTGCCTGTTGACGCTATTATACAGCTGTGCAATGCATACTAGTAGGGATGAGGCGTATATACTGGCACAGGTATATACAGCGTGTCGTTACCATCGCGACAATAAATGAACACACGTCTAACACTACTTGCCAATAATCATAAAAAAATATTAACGTTAAGCAAAATCCATAATTAAAAAAAAATATTTTTCAAACTAATTAAGTAAAAAAGAAACAAAATTTGTAAAATCCTATACAACTCGCGCCACAGAGTTATTACAAGCCTCCCTTTCTAACAGTATGTTTTGTCTCTTTTAAATTGATTCAACCCATTCATATGCTTTGTGACCTTTACAAATGAACTTTACGTTACAGTTTTATACGTAAGGGTGTTCTAAAATTGTTTGTTTTGGAAAATTTAATAACTCTGTAAATATTGATGTTTGAAGAATGTAAATGTTAAATAGAATTTTAAAAATTTATCCTCTATATGTGTGTTACACGCTGTATACCCAGTATGAACATACCAGTACGCACACCGGGTATGTACGATAGAGGCCCGTTCCATACCCGATAAATATGGCCGCCTCGTCCGACGGTGGCGGTATATAACGCTCGCGACAACCCGGCCGAATAGGTACGGAGTTCCCCTAACGATTACGGCGGGCTCTTCCCGATCATGCCGAATTGAAACGTATGAGGCATTTTATACCAAATAATTCCTTGAGATACATTTATTCTTTGTTTCTATGACCATAAGTTAAATAAATAATTGCGTAAGAAGGTTACAGTAAACAGTAATATTTATTTTGAATTACTTTTTTTTGATCATAGGGTTCTTTACGTTAGTAAAGATGGAGCTTATGTTAGACTGATTAAATCTCAATTTAAAAAAAACTGATTGCTAAAAAAACATTTAAATGTTCCAACCAAAGGTTCAATTCGTTTGACTCGACCGAGACTCCAAAAGGAGGCCTGAACATAACTAATACCTATAGGTATTTTGATACTGGGTTTTAGCACCGGGTATACGGCGATACCCGTACCTTTGACGCCGGGTATAGAATGTTGCAGGTATATCTCATGCCTACATACTAGATATAGGCCATTAACTGTTCCAAACTCACCGATGCCGTGATGCTGGGCGCGCTGCGTGAGGAACTCGGGCTCGTGGATCCGCTGAGCTCCGCTCAATATCTCCTCTCCGCGCATGAACATGTCGTACGAGTTTGACGCTTTCTGCAATGGAAATAAAGTCCACATTTCATCGTCCACATTCAACACTGAGGCAGTGAATTTGTCGAACTATCGTGAAGTTTTCATCGAATTTCGAATAGCAAGCGCTCAGTTCGGATTGGATGGACAGTTTTAGATAAAGTTAAAATACTGCGTTTTGCCAAAGTAATCAAATTCCAAGCGGCGTGTGCAGCGTTTGGAAAGAGACAATCAGCTAATTTCAGCTTCGTAGAGCGATGAAATTTCACATTAACACCGATTTCCCCATAGAATACAGACCTTTTGAGGTTAACCATAATCAACCAAAAAAATTATAAACTTGTCCTTCATTGTTTTTTTTTTTTTTTTTAATTTTTTCGTAATTTTCGCTGCTAAACTGCAAAAGTGGGGTGTTTTTAATTATTGCACCCGTACACAAATAGGCTCTATTTGAAAGAAATGAACAGTAATATAAATAACAGCAACTTATGGCCGTTTTCTTCAATCTAAATAATAATAAATATTTTAGGACACATTTTTACACAATGATCTCTAGTCCCAGCAACGCTTGTACTATGGGTACTAGATAACTGATAAACATACTTAAACATACTTTTTTTGGAAATAAATACATATTATAAATATATAAACACCCAGACACTAGAAAAACACTATGTTCATCACACAATATTTTTCCAGTAGTGGGGATCGAACCCACACCCTCTGGCGCAGAAGGCAGGTACACTACGCACTACGCCATTCGGGTCGTCTACAGATAGGTTTGGTTAATGGAGATAGAATTTTGACGTAAGTATTATGGAGCTAATGTCAAATACCTATTTGTTAGTAACAAAATCTATCTGTAGATAGGATATTGAAACCGGTCGTTACTGAACTATCCTTTAAAGTTACTTTAGTGTTACTCACCGGGTTATTGGGGTCCGGCATCGTGTAAAATGGTCTCACGGCCAGTGGATACTTGTCCAGGATGTAGAAGTCTGTATCGTACTTCGCCCTGACCAGCCTCCCGAGCAGTTTCTCATCTGGGGTGGACAGATCGTCCTCTTCGCCGAGGGTCACGCCTGGAAATCGATTGCAAATTATAGTAATAATTTACGGATTTATCGCATTTATTATGTATATTTATTATATAAACCCGCGTGAAGGAACATATTATATCTGACTTAAAACATCGCAGAGTCAATAGGTAAGTCTGCAGCATGTGAGGAGCGTCTGATGAAGGCTTCCCAGAGAAATCGAGGGCAATCCTCAAATGATATAGGTGTTAACAATGTTTTTGGTTTGCTGTTTGAAGTCGGTTTTTTTTTTGTTAAAAATTATTTGTCTATAGTCTCAACGAGTTGTCTATGACCCACCGGCCTCCTTGAGCATTTCTATCGCCTGCGGGAACTCCAGCCTCAGCGGGGGGTCCAGGAACTTGAACGGCTCCACCTTGAACTGCTCACCAACGGTTGCAATCTCAGCGGCGTAGCTGCAGAAGCGAAAGCAAATTAAACTTTATTGCTGTTCATTACGAATCATTTTGCACTAAACGATATTACGCATAGAAGTTTTTTTTTCACGACTCCGTGGCGTAGTTGCCGAGGTGTTGGCTTCGGCGTCGGGGGTCGTGGGTTCGATTCCCACACGGGACAACTATTTGTGTGACCCACAGATAGTTGTTTCGCATCTGGGTGTTAGTCTGCGTGAAATTTATGTTTGTAAAACGTCATTACAACACAGGATTAATATTTTAGTAAAGTAATGGAAATGTTTAAAAAGAAAAAAGAAGTAGCCTCTCCAATTTCATATGCATGGGTATCTGTACGGGTATTGGTACATACATACACAAATCATTTGTACTTAAAGGCAACGCAATAAGAACCATTTTCCTGTGCGCAAGCGGTGAATTATGTATCTCCAAATTTTTTTTTGTATTGTATAATATTTGTTTTTAACCACACGTCAAGGCATATCTAGGTCAATGTTTGTCATGAACATTATTATGGTGTTTGTAATTTAACCTTAAAACATAAGCTACACGATGTTACGATCAGTTTCGACGACCCGACTGGCGTAGCGGAAAGCGAACCTATCTCTTGCGGCTGAGTGTGGATTCGATCCTCATCATTTATAAAGTATTATGTGATGCACATAGTATTTTCAACTATGCGGTTGTTTATCTCCTTACTTCCTTACTAATATTATAAAGGCGAAAGTTTGTATGTATGGATGGTTGTTTGTTAGTCTTTCACTAACAATCAAATGCTACTGAATGGATTGTGATGAATCTTTATAGTAATATAGCTTATACACCAGAAGACATAGTCTATAATTTGTACACATATTTTTATGTATATCTGTCTTTCCGTCTGAATGTTACGTTACCTTCGGCCTGTTCTACGCAGACGTAGTCGCGGGCAGCGGCTGGTTTGTTATGTGCGATAATTTACAAAAGAAAAGGTACGTTTCTCAGTTACCTAGTGCCCATACCACTTAGCTTAGCTCATTTTGGGACTAGATAAAATCATTGTGATTCCCCACGGCCAGCGCCGGGCACTGACCGCTCCTGCAGCCCGCGGAACATCTCGGTGAAGGTGGCGCCGATGGTGTCGAGCACCTCGTGGTAGTGGTCCCTGAAGGCCATCTCCAGGTCGAGACCCACGAACTCGGTGAGGTGGCGGTGCGTGTTCGAATCCTCGGCCCGGAACACCGCGCCCACCGTGAACACCTGCAATGGTGCAATGTGTCTCTTTCTCGACTGGGCCTTTTTAACGGTGGCAGGGCCACGCGGCAGCCTGGGCTATTGCACGAATGGGCAGGCTCGTCCGTGTAAGTACCACGACCTCACAGAAGACCGGCGTAAAGTGGAAGTATGACAAATACTGTCGCGTTTCGTCTGGTGAGCGAGGTAGCCGGAGCCCAATTTTCAAAAGGTTGTCAACGCATCCGTAACCCTCGGGTGTGGCGGATGTCCATGGGCGGCGGTATTCACTTAACATCAGGTGAACCGTCTGCTCGATTGACAACTTTTCGCATAAAAAAAAAGGCCGTTCACTGTTGGCCTTTAGGGGCTTAGGGGGCCTTTTTATTACATACCAGCTGACCCGGCAACCGTTGTCCTAGGGAATTTGTGAATTTGAACGCATAGAAAAAGAATTTTCGGAACGCATAAAAATGTTGGACAGGTTGACAGGTAGAGTTTGTATACGAAAATAAAATTGTTGCTATTACGATTTTCCATAATTTCTCATCGTTTAAACCTTCCCTGGACTGCCACAAGTATATTAAAAATAAAAATTAGCCGGAACGGTCAGGCTGTTCTCGAGTTTTAGCGAGACTAACGAACAGCAATTCATTTTTATTATACTAGCTGACCCGCGCAACTTCGTCTGCGCCAATTCTACCGGGTCCATACGTTTCTAATTTTTGCATAGCGCCATCTATCGGATACTTACTCAATCTTATAGGACTCATAGATAGCTCTTTGTCATCTAATAAACAAATAATTAGCAATAACAAATATTGAGATTAATAATTGAGATAAAAACTACCCTATCTCCCAAGTTGGACCAAATTACTAATGCTTACAAAATGTGATAAAAATTGGTTCAGTAGTTTCGGAGTTTATCGCGAACATACATCGTGACACGAAATTTATATATATATATATATATATATATATATATATATATATATATATATACTCCCTTTCTCTCTGTGCCCCTCTCTCTCTCCGCGGCCCCTTCCCGTTGATAACGTCCTCTCGAGATAGGAATACAAAGTGAACGATTGTATCAAAGTCAAAGTCAAATATCTTTATTCAATATAGAAGCATTCACTTACTTATTTATAGTCAAAAAACTCTACCGCCGGTTCGGAAGGAAAGCCACTGACCTGAGAAGAACCGGCGTAAGAAACTCAGCGGGACATTTTTTTTTACTTGCCAAAAAAATTACAAATATGCGTACAATTATTAAATTCCACTCGAAAGAGCCTGTAGCGATCAATTCATTTCCAGAGTGTGTTACCATTCAAATAATCATTAATACTATAACAGCCATTAACACACAAACGTACCTTTACAAGTTTTTGAAAGTATCAGGAGTAACATTGGAAGGCATGAGTGAATGGTTTTCCTTTGGCGGTAGGAATACCAAATGAGCGATTGTGTCAGGAGTGAGACTGGAACGAGTGAATGGTTTGCCGAGGGCGGCACACCTTATATATATATATATATATATATACTCCCTTTCTCTCTGTGCCCCTCTCTCTCTCCGCGGCCCCTTCCCGTTGATAATGTCCTCTCGAGATAGGAATACGAAGTGAACGATTGTATCAAAGTCAAAGTCAAATATCTTTATTCAATATAGAAGCATTCACTTACTTATTTATAGTCAAAAAACTCTACCGCCGGTTCGGAAGGAAAGCCACTGACCTGAGAAGAACCGGCGTAAGAAACTCAGCGGGACATTTTTTTTTACTTGCCAAAAAAATTACAAATATGCGTACAATTATTAAATTCCACTCGAAAGAGCCTGTAGCGATCAATTCATTTCCAGAGTGTGTTACCATTCAAATAATCATTAATACTATAACAGCCATTAACACACAAACGTACCTTTACAAGTTTTTGAAAGTATCAGGAGTAACATTGGAAGGCATGAGTGAATGGTTTTCCTTTGGCGGTAGGAATACCAAATGAGCGATTGTGCCAGGAGTGAGATTGGAACGAGTGAATGGTTTGCCGAGGGCGGCTCACCTTGTCGAAGTCGGCCGCTATGGCCATCTGCTTGTAGAGCTGCGGGCTCTGCGCCAAGTAGGCGGAGGACTTGAAGTAGGAGACCGTGAAGACGTTCGCGCCCCCTTCCGACGCCGCGGATATTATCTTCGGCGTGTGGATCTCCACGAAACCTGGACCGCGAGAGGATATATTCTAGATGATATGAGGTTTCGTTCTGCTTTACAGAGTTATTAGTTACGATTGTAGTAGACTAAATGATACTGTTTTTACGGATTTATCGTGTTTTTTTTTTTTTAATTTTAGTGCCCGACGTTTCTTTTTAGCTCTTTTTAGCGTTTATGGGCACGGGATAGACTAAGAGGAATTGTTAATTTTATGTTCGATTTACGCTGAAGGTCCTAATTGTATCATCTTGTAGTAGTCATTCGTTTGGGCTTAGGCTTAATCTTATCCTTTATTCGAGCAATTCTTGTATATATATATGTATACAAGAATTGCTCGTATATATATATATAATCGATCTAGCTAGGTTTCATTTTTAGAAAATGTCCTTCCTTTTATCCCTGTTTTCAGGGAATGAAAAATATCGTTCGAATATGACGGTAAATTTCGCCGCAAGAGAAAATGTCATAATAGCTCGGTCGGTAATCGGGCGGCCCCGAAACAGACAGCCGTAGTTCGTGTCACGATCATTAACACACTCTTTTTTTTTACTTTTTTTTTCGATTCCAGACCATTGCTTTCTTTATTTTTTGTTGATCCAGGTGATTTTGCTATTTTTTTCCCTTTTTTTAGAGTTGTTTCTTTTGTGAAAAACACCACTTCATATTTTCTTATTATTAGGTCGGTAAGATCGAAAAATATTATGCATATTTTATTACTCAGTAATTTATATATCTAAATGTAATTTCCAAAATACACGATTTAAAAAATAAAAAAACAAACCGAGCAAAGCTCGGTCCTCCGGGTACTTTTATTAATAATTCTCTATTGAACTTTTGAGGTGTTTTTGTTGAGTTTTTAAATCAAAGTGGTGAACTAAAATTGAATTCTTTAATTAAATCCGTAAAAAATTGTTTCATTTGTCTCATCTTCGTATTGATTTTGGGGAGTTGCGGTTAAAGATGGCGGTTCCCACTCACCCTTCTCGGTGAGGATGTCGCGGAAGAGCCTGCAGACGCCGGCCTCTATCCTGAATATGGCCTGGTTGGCGGGCGTGCGCAGGTCCAGCACGCGGTTGTCCAGCCTCGTGTCCTGGTTCACGCGGATCCTGAGGGCCTCGGGGTCCTGGACGTGACGGCCAAGTTAACACGGGGAATTTAAACCAGTACCAATAACACTAGTACAGCGTAGTATCAACAGCGGAGGACTAGTACAAAGTAATACCAGTACAGCGTAATAACAGTACAGGGTAATACCAGTAAAGCGGAGAACCAGTACAGCGTAATACCAGTACAGCGGAGGACCAGTGAAAGCTCAACTGTTGCGACCCTAACATATATGCCACCATCATCATGATCATTTCAGCCTGTTGGAGTCCACTGCTGAACATAGCCCTCCCCCCTAGACTGCCACGAAGGTAGAATTTACTACGTATGCGTTTGAAATAAGAATGTGTGCGTCAATGACCTCGATCTGTCAATGATTTCTAGAAAAGTACAGATAGCAATAAAAAAATTTATACATATGCCGGCAAAACTGCTTTTTATATATTTTGTCACAGATCTTCATCAATAGGGTTACCTTTTGTTACCCTATTGATTATTCTACATCAGTAGGGGTCAATTCTACGTCGCAAAGTATGTTTATTTCTCTCTCTTTTTTTATGGCTTTACTATTTACATAAAACGTATTAAAATTGAAAGATTTGTTTTGGAATTAACGGCGACTGTACGCCGATGTGTGCGTTCGTGTGTGAATGCGTACGTGCGTGTGCGTGTGTGCGTACGTGCGTGCGAGTGTGTGTGCGCATCAAAGCCACTCACGTCGCTCTTCTCCGGCCTGGCGGCGTCCTCGACCAGGAGTGGCAGCTGCGCCTTGGCGGCCGCCACCAGCCACAGTTCCGTGGCCACCAGCTCCACTAGGCTGCAACTGCATGACGCCACCGGAGCACCGGTCTTCACCACGCGCCCGAACACCTCCACGATTGACTCCTTGTTTATGCTAAGCAAACCCCCCCACCTCTTTGTATTAATGACCTAGTTAAGCGACCAAGCTAGTTAAGCGCATGGAGCATTTGTAAGCCCTCTGGTGTTAAAGGTGTTCAAGGACGGCGGTAATCACTTACCATCCGCTGTCTCCAGGTCGACCCTTTTCTCCAAAAAAAAAGGATTGGTTGAACAATGTTATAATGACTTCCACTTTCAAAAATATCTAAAGTTATCAATATATTCAGTTAAAGGTATGTATTTTAGTTGAAGGTAAAGCTGTGGTAACGCCACGCACCAACTTCTGCTGTTGCACTAATGGGCAGATCCATCCAGGTAAGTACCACAACCTCACAGAAAAAGTGTTACAGGGCGGCGGATATCATTTAACATCATGTGAACTGCCATCTCGCTTGCAATCTACTCACTAAAAAAAAATTATATTTGCACGCAAGTGTACACTCACTTGCCTGCGAACTTGACCATTTGTTTGCTGACCCTACGCTCCTCGCTGACGCTGATAAGCAGCTGCACAGTGCTGGAACTCTGTCTCAGCACGGCGAAGCACTGCTTACCTTTGGCCCGGGAGGTCTGGAGACGAGCTGAAAATAATACATAACTATTTCAGACAATATGTTGAGTGTATAAAAAGTACAATAAAAAGGATATTTAATTACTGCTGTACTAACATACTTTGTCATTAAATCTCAAGAAAGTGAAATGGACGTTTGTTACAATTTAATAATAATTACATACATAATAATACAATGCTATCTATAGAATCACAACCTTTTTTTTCTGTACGGACACAAATACATATTTTGATTCATAAGGATAGGGTGCATTCTCTTCACGTGTAATTTAATTTTATGTTAAAACAATAATAAAGGAAAAGATATGTATAAATATATTTTATCAATTATACATAATTAAAAAGAATTCCACTAATGTGCAATAATAATAAAAGTTTAATAAAGTTTAATATGAAAGCTAGAATCAGTCTTTGATTAGTCCTTAACCTTAAAAAATCAATGTTAACCTTAAAAATAACTAGCATCCTGCCCAGGCTTCGCACGGGTTTAATGTATTTATATATTAAAAGGGTTTAATATATTATATATATAAACGTTCCTCTTGAATCACTCTATCTAGTAAAAAAACCACCATCAAGATCCTGACAGCGGGACAGCTTTGTTTTATACTATGTAGTGATAGTGATAACTCAATGTCTTTAGTATTAATTCTCAGCGTCAGTTCTGAATCTTTGAAAAGTTTCACAGAATTGAGTTTTTTTGTCTGCTGAATAAATTAGTTTCTTGTTGTTGCAAGAACTTAGATCTAGGTTTACAATGAATGGAAATAAATACCCATCTATTACAGAAATTCTCACCTCTGACCCAGACATCCTGGCCATCTAAATGCACACCGAGGTTCTTGACGTCGGTGTAAACGCGGTCACGGTGTTCCCCAGAGGACTGGATCAACTTGCGTGTACCATAACGACCCACTGAGATGTCCGGCTCTGCTGATTCATTCTGCGTGTCCCCTGATGCGGCCTGAAATCGCATCAGAATTTTTATCATGACCGAGCTCCAGGACATATTGCAAAAATGTGTATCTGATGACTACAAAAAAAATTCTAAAATCCCTTTAAAATTAATTCAATCAGAACCATCTCTGTTATGTATGGATATAAATAATTTCATAACCCTAATCACAAAAGTACTTTAAAAATTGAAATCACCTTGTGTTCAGCTTTTTTCTGCTGTTTTTCGGCTGCTTTTGCTGCCTTCTTTGCAGCTTTTTTACTGGTTGCTGCATCAGCTTCGATTGTTGGCTGTGTTTCTTCTGACACTACCATTTTGTATGGATCTGTTAAACAACCTAATAATTGTTGAATAGTTGAACTAATAATTTTTGGACATGGACATAGTATATTAAGCATTTAGCATTTATATTAGCATTTATAACAAAACAATGATATATATTTAACAGGAAGTTGTCAATTATGTATAGAATGCACATTAATTGTGAATTTTTCTTAAAATTAATTGTTAGACAAACACAAAAATCAATAACAATTAAAACAAGCCTTGAGCTGTCACGTTTTACATGAGTGCCAAGTGCATACTAATCCCGGTTACTGCATTTAAAATTACATCATGATTATTCTGTAGATGAGTAACTGAATGTTGATGCAATATATTTATTTACATATTCAAGTACTTGCATGCATGATCATAATTAGGATAAAATATATGTTAGTTAGTAAGACAACCTGTGCAAGTGTGCAGGAAGGAGATGGATGCAGGTGGCTCAGGATCGTGCTTTGTGGCAGTCTGTGGGGGAGGCCTATGTTCAGCAGTCAACTCAAACAGGCTGAAATGATGATGATGATGATGATGATATGTTAGTAAAATAATGTATCATAATTATCCCTTTTCATTCCTGTCACTCAAATTGCAATGAAAGTTTATAAATTTCTTGCTGCACAGTTAAAACAGTTCAAAACGCATTTGTTTCAGAGTTAAACATTTATAGAAAGCAAATTACAGTGGTAATAAACTAGGACTATATCTAACTATAGTGTATAATTTTGTTTAGGACTTTATTGTACTATGTAATAAAATGTAAGAATGAAATATGTAAAATGTAAAGATTTTGTGTATAACCGTATAGATTATAAATGTATAAATATTTTGAAAAATTGCCGATAAAATTTCAAGGTATTAATTAGCGCATTTAATACGTTTAGGTATCAACATAAAAGGCAAAGATGAAACAGTTCGACTCACCAAGTATTTAAGTAATATATAAACTACACTACGATAGACTGCGGAGATTTAAACGAAAACAAAAATTAAATGATAAGGTTCTGGTCGTATAACAATAGGTTATGTTTGATATGTCGGTCACCTTCTTCGACTTTTTTGACATTACCCTATTAAGATAACATTGACACATGCGTTGAAAATCGGTAACGGTAAGTCCGTTATAAGTTATAAGTCAAAGGCTAAAGAAGATCATAAATAAAGGATCGACTAGCTAATTGAACTAAGCTAATTTAACAAAAACAGTTATTAAACAAAGAAAAATTAATATTTGCACTTCGGTATGGCCACATATTCGTCACTTTTACGTATCACCTACTAATTTACCTCGTGTAAAATAGTACTAGTAGTGAGCCTGAGCTTTCTGCAGCAAAAGAAAATAATTGTCACGGGGGTCTTACGTTTAATATGTCTGAATGGCAGATGGCATATTGTACACATTCGTTAATTTATATAAACATACACTTTATTAGCAATTTAAACATCGTTGTTATGTTTAAATTATTAGTTCAAAATGTCAATAAATATTACTGACCCTGATCTGAATATAACTATAGTGAAATATTATTGTGGCCCTGTAAAAATTTGCGTAAAATGCCCGTTTTTACAGCGAACATACCGAGTATCCTTAAAATAGGAGATAAAATTGAGATAGGTGGTAAAATAAAGGAAAATGCTCGCAAGTAAGATCATTGGCTAATATTAAAGATTTAGTTATAAATATTTATATATTTAGTAAAATAGTGAGGTCAAATAGCTACGTCATTGCATTTAGGACTTATTATGGAGGATATCCCATCCAGATCCAGTGGCGGATTTGCAGTGTTAGTCGCCTTAGGCCCCAAGTCAAAATTTAGCAAGATTATCGTTCAACGATGCAGTGAAGTGCGGCCCGCCGTAATATGGGCGAGCCTTTAGAATATAATACTTTGAGTTGTTTCTTGTGATAATAATTGGGTTTTTTATCACGATTAGCCGCCTCTACTAAGCCCGGGCCTACTGGGCCTTAGGGCAAATCCGCCATTGACCCCATCTTAAGATTTAATTATGTGTAAGTTTGCTAAGTAGCTCAGTTTAGTTTGCTCTAGGTATTATGTTAATATTATAGCATTATTTGAAACAAAACTATCGATCAATGTATTACAGGATGTCGGTTAACCTTTGCGCACAAGAAGGTGAGGAGCCAAGAGATGTGGTGCTTCACTTCGATGTGAGATTCCACCGTGATAACATAATCTCATTGTCGAGAAAAAACGGAATATGGATAGGCAGTGGCAACTACGACACAAATTATAACATGTTCGTTCCCGGTTAGTTTTGACCATATATACGTATCTCTAAGGTACGCTCGCCTTAGTCTCCCTCCTGATTTTTATGTACCGTACATAAATTAAGGTCAGACAAGTAGAGTTTGTCTACGGTTATATAAAAATATATATAATATTTGAGTCCCCTTTGAAAATGTCTCACACCGTTTTTAACCATAAATACAACTTTTAGGTTTCGAATAAACTGCAGCATTCACTGTCACAAGGCGGACTGTTGCGACGCATGAATTTAATTATAAATTCAAAGCGAAAAGACCTTTAAAAATAATGTAAATTTTAATAAAATAATTTATATTATAGGTACGATATTCCGTATAGTCTTCGAGGTGAAAGACACAGACGTGATCACAATATACTGTCAAGGCAAGTTCCACTCAAATTTCCTGCCCAAGATACCCCTCAGCATGGCTAAATACATTGTCGCTTGGGCAGACGTGGAAAGGGTGACACACTGCTACTTCCATTTTGGATTCAAGGTAAGCTAAGTAAGTGGAGATGAGAAAACGAGAAGAGAAGAGAAGAATTTATTTTTTTCTTCATAGGATTACCAACATAAGATACAGCATCTACAATCTAAAAACAAATCTACAAATAAAAGAAAAAAGAGGGTATGGAGTCCAAAACTCGTGCATTTTAATTATATTTCTAGTTTCATATTTTCTTCTCGTGTAGGACTTTTAAAAACAGTTTGTTTCGAAAATAAGTGTTATATTCGTATTTTTTAGGGTGTTGGGGATGAAGTTGGAGCCGGGTTTCCGCAATGTCTATCACCACGTACCACGGCGAACATGATGCTTGGTGAGACTAAGCGATGGTAAGTTATGCATTTTTCTGTTTAATCCTATTAAGTTTGATAGTGGGTATCATAATCTATATTTTGTAACTGAAATACAATAATAAAATTTTCATAAATAAATTGTCTATCAATTGTGAATGCTTATCTAGAGCTAAGCATTTTCAAAATTTAAGGTAATATTTATTTTAGCCAACGCTTACACAAAAAGCTACCGGGCTCACCCGCCCTTCATTCATCGAATGACAGTTCGGAGGATGAGCGCGCAAAGCTACGGCCGAAAACCGAGGGGAGGGCCGACAGATTCTTCTATGAGACTCTAATGTGCCAACCGCCGGACTTTACAAAGTTCTGCACGGACGCTAAGTCCAGGCGCGACAGGAGCCAATCGCACCCCAAAGCCGAGCACAGTAAAAAGTATCGAGAGGTCTCGGACAGCGAGAAAATCGACACGGAAGTATTTTCCGAAGAGAACGTATCTAATAACGTCGATTCGTCTATGGTTGAGTCGGAAGCGGTATTGCCTGATATGAACGGAAAGAAGCGCTGCCGGCGCGGGAAATTTGCTCCTCTGGCGCAGGTCGTAAACTTTATGGGCAAAACGTCGAGAAGAAGCTAGTGAAGTTTTGTCGATGCTTTTACGGATTTTAGTTTCGCTTTACACGTTTTGAATGTTATTTTATTTTAATACTTATTTTCGATTAAAGAGTAATTAAAGTAACATAAGAATATTTGACTGCAGATTTAAAGTTACCGATAAATATCATTAGGGACACACCTTTAACTCATTCACGCTGGCACCTCCGAACAACTGCTATGGTAATTTTACACGTCTTTGTTTTTTAATGGTTGCAGTTACACACACTTTCCACATTTTCTTAGGCTTTAGCGATAATGGAACATTTGTTATGTGATAAAGTGGCAAACGAGCCAGCGGTTCACCTGATGTTAGGTGATAGTCGCCGAACATGGACTTTTGCAATACCCATAGGGTTGCAAAATGCTTTGCCTTTTAGTAAAGTGAGCCCCGGCTACCTCACTCACCAGACGAAACGCAGAAGCGTAAAACTTCTACTTTACACCGGTCTTCTTTGAGGTGGTACTTACTCGAACGGACCTGCCCATTCGTGCAACAGTGAACACAGTTGATTACTTAGTTATTAAATCAGTAAATTATAAGGGTTTTAATACACTTAAAAATCAAAATAATAAAACTAATTTATTTATTTTGTAGCGTACCTAAAATATACATTCGATTTGTCTTAAAAATATTTTGTCATCATAGATTTCCATAAAGCTAAAATTAGAGCAGTCCCATTTTAATAACTTACTTAATTCTAATTGAACACTAAATTTTATACCTACACTTGTACGTATTAATTTAAGGGAAGACTTTTCTTACATAATAGCCATTAAGGATTCTTAAATAAAAGGTATGCTTTATTAACAACCAAAGCAAGCAAAAATTATAAATAATATTTTTAGGGCAAAAATCACGTCAGCCATATCTCGTTAGGATTAAAAACTACGTTCACAAATAAAAAAATTATGATGTTTAAGATGACAATAATGAATTATTGAACACAAAAAATCTTTACGGACGAATCTTCTTGTACAAGGAAACCACCATATGGATTTGTATAATAAGCAAAATATATAACATTAGTAGGTAACGCACAAAAGTTTATTAATCGAACTCCAGCTAAGTACTAAAAATTTTTTTTTACTCATTATTTGGTTAAAATAAAGAGGTATGGATGGTAAATGGATAAATATATCGATATTTATAAAAATATCACTATCGGCCTTGATATTATATTGAAGAGAAAATCCGTAAAAATTTCGATACATCGATATTTTCTGTAAAGTTCCCGTTGTCCAAAAAGGTTTGTCAAGTATTAAATATTTGACATCTACGAACTCGTGCCGAATTCGAATTTGAATAAAATCGTTTTTAATTGAATATTCTATATCGGCTAAAATATTCATATTTGAACTCAAAAACATCGATATATCGATATTTTTACGGACATACCTACCTGAAGTTCCTGCCCTAACTAGGAACATTCATTGATCAGCTGTGCCTACTCTGCCATATTAGAATAATATTATATTCAAGTCATGTAATCCGAAAGTTTATTTATTGTAAAAAAATATAATTTAATTTATCATTGCTTTCGAAATATCAGACTAGTGCTAACTTTTGACGAATTGACAGATGATGTTAGCGTGATCTTCGTTTACACCAATAGTCGTTAATTGGCCCTTCGATACTAGGAATAAAGATTCGCCGTCGATTTCGTGCTCTCGTAAAACTGACACTGTCTCGTCCCAGTTGTATTTCTGAAGGTGAGTCGTCAATTGTTGCACCTGAAATAATAAAAAGGATAGATAACTTTTTGGCGGTTTTTCGTTTTTTACTTTTATTATTGGGGCAAATGTAAAGGACACTCACGTTGGCGTAATTCAATTAAAATAAATTTAAAACGATAGAGAAAAATCACTAATTAATATTAATTCATTAGTGATTCACATGTGGATTACCACAAGCAGAATTCTCCGGTCGTTTCTCATTTCAACAATACCTAATTAAACTTGCCATTTTTATTAGATATTTGACACATGACATTGAAGTTTGACAGTTTCAAGGTTGCCATTAGTTCCATCTTTCAATGAGACGGGGTTAATATTGTGTACATTTTATTTAAAAACCAAATATGGTTACATTTTATACACTTGATTATTACTGATGAAAACTAACTTTAACTATAACTTTGTATCAAATATACGTTAATTGTAAAGATGCAGTGTAATATGCTTACCGTCCATGTTTTTACAGTCTGCGGCTTAAGTTCTGTGAATGGACTATCTGAAAAAAGAAACTAATTAGTATTGGTAAAAGTCAAAATTATAATATAATATCAATTATCAAGCTTGTTAAAAACTTAAACTAGAAGAAAACTTTTTTGGTACCTTTATTGTCCTCTTTGTCGTCTTCAATATTTTTAGACACAGTTTTCTCTTCCTCAGGTAATTTTTCCTCGTTCAAATTTAAAAACGACAAATTGCATATTTTGCTTCCATTTTGATCAGTGTTGGTTTGGTTGTTTTTGTTTTCTTCTTTTTTAACCTCCAAATCTTCGGTGTTCGGTTGTAGAGTTCTTTCTTGTAATGGTTTTCTTATCTGAAACGTCAAATTATTTTATTACATTTATTTAATTAAAACTAAAATGTATATTCGTTCAAATCACATTACGTCGCTTTTTAATTTCAATCTTTACATTAGTGTTGTATAAATATCACATCTCATAGAAGAGATTTGTTCAAATTATTACCGGGAAAGCTATGTTTGACTCTTGAATCACGTAACCATCGAGCACGTGCGTAAGAACAAAGCCATTCTCGTTAGTTTTGCCATTGCCGAGTAAATTTATCTCCTTCAGAGTTGCCTCTTCCCTTGTTGCTTTGCTTACTTCTTTTTTTGTTTCACCAACATTCAGTGCATTGTTTTCTTCCTTCTTTATAATTTCTTTATTATCAAAGTTCTCAATTAAATCTTTATTAGTGTCTTTCTCTGGTAAGGCTTGGAGTTTGACATCGGCTGTTTTGGATTCAATTTTAGTTGAATTGGTTGTAACTGTTTCCTGTTTATCTGCCAACACTCGATTTCTAGCTTGAGTATACACTGTATTCCTCAGTAATTTCTCAGTTTCACTAGTTTGCTTTGGATCTTTATCTGTTTGGTTTTCGATACGTTGGGTTAGGTTATCTTTTATAAGCTGTTTGCTCTCAGTCGTTCGATTTATCGTGATTGTTTGATCATTGGGGATAGTATTTATAGGTTTATTGTTTATCCTTTGTAATGGAATCGTATTGACTCCAACGTCAGTGTAAGTGTTAGTTGTTATAGGCATTGGCGTTGTAGTCACATTTTTTTGCGTTACAATATTCGGTGCCATCTTCTTTTGCATCTCATCTGGCGACTCGCTCTTTCTCTTCCTATTGAAGACACTCTGTTCAGTTTTGATGTAATTTGTGGGTAACGCGCCGGGCATAGGGTAAGTCTGTGTGTTTCCACCGCTACTGACATTGGTAGCTTGTATGGGGAGTATGATTTGTGAGTGGGTGCTTGCCGGCAGTATGTTTGGCGCAAAATGCCTCTGTTGTTGCGGTCTCGGTTGGATAGGCCTGTAGCTATAGGTCAGTGAGCTTTTGTTTGTAGTGTTTAACAGATTGCTTATAGCCGTGTTGCCTTTCGGCGTGACGGTCGCCACTTTCCTCATCATTTTATCGTTTGTCATAGAAGTATTAAGAGTGCTTTGAGGCAGTACTGGCGCATTGATGATTTGCGGTTGCAACGGTCGTATCTGTGCCATGTTTTGATCCATCGGCGTTGCGTTTACGTTCGTTTTCTGTTGCACTGCCGTTTGGCTCTGCATCGGCACCATCGTTATCGACTGCGGCAGCGGTGTCGCCGGCATATTGTTTTCCTGCTGGTACGTCTGCTGTAGCATGGGGCGGTACACGTTCTGCTGTATCTCTACATTCCTACCCAGATTCACCGCGCTCGTCGCGACCGTCTTCTGGGACGTCTGAACGTTCGCAACCATCTGCTTGCCCGTTACGTTCGCCGGGATGAAGTTGATCTGGCCTTGGTTTATCTGGCCCTGTATGTTCGTGTAGTAGGGTGGTAGCATCCCGTAGTTAGCAGGGGGTCCAACAGCTGGTGTGCTGGTTACATTTGGGTTGTTTGGAGTGCTAGACGCTTGTGAAACTTGGACTGTGCCCCTCTGCAGCATGTTTGCCATTTGGACGTTGGCCGACCTCACTTCGTGCTGAGCCTGCGACAGGACCTGCTGCGACATTATCTGATGGAGATTGTTGTAATTCTGTTGAATGTACAGGGGGTTCTGACCGGTGTGTTGTTGCTGCACATGGGGCATGAAGTTGTTCGGCGCCATCTGTTGGACGTATATCACTTGGTTTTGGGGCCTGTTCTGTATCCATGGCGGCGTGTTCTGTGGGTTTATGAATATTGTCTGATTCGGCTGGATTTGTTCACCTAAAACGAAACAGAATATTACATTGATTTATTATCTGTCGTTACAAAGAAAGCGAGGAAAAGGTCATTAAGGAATATTTTATAAATAAGATAAATCTAATTGCTTCTTGGAGTAGCACATTAATTGCCTAACTTTTTATCTAAGGCCCGGTGGAAATTGGATTTCTCAAAAAAAAAGTATTTTATAGTTACAGAAAAGCTTTTTCAACGGTGATAGAGCCATGCAGCGGCCGTTGCCCGGATGGGCAGGTTCGTCCGGGTAAGTACCACGACCTTACAGAAGACCGGCGTAAAGTGGAAGTATAATACCTTCGCGTTTCGTCTGGTGAGTGAGGTGGCCGGAGCCCAATTTATAAAGGTTGTCAACGCATCTGAAACCCTCTAGTGTAACAGATGTCCATGGGCATTCACTTAACATCAGGTGAACCATCTGCTCGCTTGGCAACTTTTCAAATAAAAAAAAAAAAAAGAAAGCTTCTTCATGAAATAACTGTAGCAACAACTGAAGGACAAAAATTAAAATAAGAGTTTCTTGGGAATGGGTTTCACGCACGCGCAAGCGTCTATGTGAATAAATATATTGATTTTGATTATTCTGATTTTGACTAATCCGAAAAATTATGAGAAGACGTAAGTACAAAAATTGGGACTTACCTGGTTGCACAAGTATTTGTGTTTCGTAGACCAGCCTAACGGGGCATAAGAGCATCTGCTGTCCTGCCCCTTGCTGATTGCTGGAAATTAAAAAGAAAACATTAGACAAGATCATGAAACCCCAGAACTTCCAGTATTGCTTATAGCAATAAATAATATATTAATAATATAATATATTATTAGCTCTATAGCAAACACACATTCTCAAATGACATTTTTTCAATGGATAAGTATTTAAAAATTAGTTTTTAATTTTAGCGTCTTTGCACTTAAGATGACATGTCTTTGCACTTAAAATGTGTAGATAAAATTTTTCTTTATTGCGAGGACTCGAACCTGTAACTGTGCCTTTGTAATTATGAGATTAGTCGCTCAAGCCACTATGCTAAGCGGTCGATAATCCCACCGTGCCAAAATCTCGACGACTTTTTCTACTTTTTTTTTCATTGTATTTTCAGCAATGCTTGACGTCATCTTGATCTGTTGTCCGAACGATCAATGGAAGTCTGACTGACATGTCATTACTTCCCTACAACTTTCTTAATGGGTAAAGACAATACTAAGTAAGTAAAATGTCGTACCTCTGTTGCTCTTGATAAACCGGTTGCTGCATCTGTAACAAATAAAACATTGCATTATTATTAATGAGCCAATAAAAATGTCACAGTTTTCATTAATAATAATAATATAATAATAAAATATCTTTATTCACATAGACGCTTGCGCGTTCTTATGAAACGTCAAAATTTTACAAGAAATTAACACGTTCGTAAGTTACCACCGTTTCGGAAAGCAGTTTCTGTTGAGAAGAAACCGGCAAGAAACTCAACAGTTGCTCTTTTTAAAAAAATCAGTTTACAATATAATAGTACAGGTACAATAGTCTTGTTTTAGCCTACGTGAGTATCAACAGTATTAACCCCACACATTGGCGTCGTCAAGATATTCGGCAATAGTATAATAGGCTTTAGCCATAAGTGTACTTTTAATTTTTCGTTTAAATTCATCAAGTGGCAGACTTAACATCGACTGTGGGATTTTATTATACATGCGCACACTTTGCCCCATGAACGATCTGTTTACTTTTTGTAGGCGAAATAATGGCGTAGTTAGTTTGTCCTTATTTCTAGTATTTAGTTTATGTCTGTCACTATTCTTTTGATAATTATTAATATTCTGTTTAACATACAAAATATTACAATAAATATATTGAGACGCAACAGTGAGTATATTAATCTCTTTAAAAAGATCTCTGAGTGTATTCCGGGCTCCGATGTTATAAATTGCTCGGACAGCTCTTTTTTGAATAATAAATATTGAATTTATATCAGATGCACTACCCCACAACAAAATGCCGTACGACAAGATGCTGTGAAAATAACTGTAGTAAACAAGTCTGGCAGTGTCGATGTCTGATAGCTGCCTAACCTTCCTAATTGCAAAAACAGCGGAGCTTAACCTATTCGCAAGAGATGATAGATGGGGACTCCATTGGAGCTTTGAATCTACTGTGATTCCCAAGAATACAGCGGACTCAACAGGATTAAGGGTTACGCTATTCAATTTTAAGCTAAAACTTTGCCTTCTTACGTTGGGAAGGGCAAAAAGAAGGCATTTAGTTTTTTTAGCATTTAACACCATATTATTAATGGTAAACCAGTGGAGGATACGCGAAAGTGCACTATTCACGTCGTCATAATTCGATACATTTCGGTCAACCTTAAAAATAAGCGATGTGTCGTCAGCAAACAGTACAACATCACATAACTCACTGGCATAAAAGGGGAGATCATTTATATATACTAAGAATAATAATGGGCCCAAGATCGATCCTTGTGGGACACCCATTTTCATGGGGGACCCTGCTGAATTTACATCATTTATAGATACTTTTTGAATTCTATTATTAAGGTAAGAAGCAATGAGATTGAGGGCGATGTCACGAATGCCATAATAATCAAGCTTTAGAAGGAGGGTTTTGTGATCCACGCAGTCGAAAGCTTTTGAAAGGTCGCAAAAAACACCTATTGCATCTTGCGACCCTTCCCAGGCGTTATAAATATGTTTGACAACTGCGATACCCGCATCTGTTGTCGATCTGCCTTTAGTGAATCCATATTGCTCATTGTGAAAAATTTTGTTCATATTAAAATGTACTAAGAGCTGATTTAAAATTAGTTTTTCAAAAATTTTACTCAGAGATGGCATGGCACACATTTGTGTAAGACAACAAAGCCTCAGAAATGTCAGTAAACGAATCAAATGCTTAAAACATATATGTGTATGTTTTAAGCATTTGATTCATATTGGTTCTAAAAACTATTACTTCTATATAATTCTAGATGGGCTTTCGTTGATATGAAAATTGTCAGTTATAGTTCCTAATACAACTCAATTAGAAGGACCATGTTCTTGGCGTTGGAGTAAAACTGATAATCTTAATCGAGAGATTTTACTTCTCTTGATGAAAAAAGTCAACGAAAAGTTCATTTACACTTTTTCTTTTCTTCTGTCAAGTGAGTTTACCGGAGGTTCATTATAGTTAAGTATGCTAAAGACTTGCAAAGTCACAGGTATTGCAGATATTCAACTGCGGTGGTAATTTGTTGCTCGTGGTGGATACTCACCACGAATAAACCACTGATCTAACACCACCGTCTCTCTAAAAAAGTCGCTGAATCTGTCGATGCTGTCTAAGATTCTTATATATGAATCGTTATGGAAAGGATACGAATATTAGCTTAGCGCTCTATTGGCTATGGAAAGTTAATATCACTTAGACCGAGTCTCCTGTGATAAGCGTAATTTGAGTTATTATTATTAGGTGATAAAAGAGCTTACTTAGGTGGCAAATTCGAAGCTCAGTACTGTACTGATTAGTTTCCATTTTTTAAGTTTCGAGCGAATATACCTAGTTTTTTTTATAAATCTTAACACAACACCGGTTCTAAGGTATTATTATTCACGATAATTAAATTACCACTAACACTATATTATGAAATTATAAGAAATTGAGCATGTCGAGGTTAGAAAGGGCACGAGTACTTTAAAGGTTTTACTTAGTGCTTAATTATATCACGAGCAGGTTATTTCTATAATGCGCAAGATGATGACGGAGTCGTGATGGTGAATACACTATATAAGTAAGACCTGTTTAATTCTTTAAATATTCATAATAATGTTTATGCTGCTTTCAAACACTAAAGAATTTTGCGGTTAAATTACCATGACCATATTAACTCAATCCACGTTTACTGCGCCTGCAAAACTATTCGCGGCAAATTTTCGCTCGCAAGCTTTTGAGCTGCATGTAAAAGGAAAGGCGCATTAAGGCTAAGACGTAATGTAAAGAATTTGAAGGATTGGTTTGTACGTTTGCCATGTTGTAGGCTTTTACTCTGGCTCCCAATTATCAACGATATCAAGTAGATAATTGTTTCGTAGACGTCTCTGCGCCGGTATGCAAAAAACTCAACAACAGGTTAAAGTTATATAGAGGAAAATATTCCTTTTTTTTAAATGGTATCTTTATATGAGTAGAATGTCATCGAAACTATAAAGCTTAAACGAGGACAAGGCTTATATCTGAATATGGTTACTACTCGTGTATCGTGATATTTTAGAGGAGCGTTGTTATAAATCGGGTAAATAAAGTGTCAAGTAAAAAAGTCAACAAGTTAGAAATATTATGAAGTATATTATATGAATAGAACAACAAACAAGTCAAGTTAAAGTTAACGAGTGATGGGCTTTACGGGCGTCGAGATGTTACATGAGATATAACAGGATACTATAAGTTGCTCGATGAGGCTCCATCAAAGGTACTGAACAGACGGAAACAGAAAGAAGTAGAATAGAAAAGAATGTTTTGTAGATATCGTAGTCTTTAACTCGTCGAGGTATATTGTTACGTTTCATAAGAATACTTGCTTTTGATAAGACAAGGTTGTGTTTCAGTCATTGAGTTTCAATCACACCAAAGGGAAGCTCGACCGGCTGGTAGCTCTACCAATGTCTACGTACCGCGCCCACGTTAAATGTTTATAAAATACATAATACACATTTATAAATTTAATTATATATGAATATGTATATAACTTTTATTTTAACTTAAAATTTGATTGGAAACTTTTTACACCTGCCTCTTTTGTCTCTTCGTCGCCTATAGGTTGACTGGTAGAGAATGCCTTAGGCATTAAGTCCGCCTATACACAATACTATTTTTTTTGTGTAAAAGTTTAAATAAATAAATAAATAAAATAAAAATATTGCCTAATTGAAGTCAATAGCATTAAATATACGAACCAGTATCAAAGCTACATAGTTTCCGAACAAATATTTTCTTTTAAACACACTTGAGAGCGAAATATAAAAACTTCCCATAATCGAAGATTCTAACCATTATAGCACTAAGATCAAGCCTTAATCATCAAGGATGTGCGCGGAGCTGTATCTCAGGCAATATGTTTATCCTATCGGCACAGCAGACTGGAATCGTAGTTTAATGTTTAGCCTTATTTTTTCAATTGTCTGCAAATTAACCAAATATAGGTACTATATGTTTCTAAGTGTAAGTGGAATATCAAACTTAGGTCACAGAATTGACTTTATTGGATGCTTAGCACATTTTCAAAAAGTTACGTTCGTCGTCGTAAAGTAAGCTAAGATATTAACCTATTATTTCCATGTTTTAGAATGATGATTCTACCGCAAATCTGGGACGATGTGTAAGGGACTAAATTGGTAGAGATCCTAGTGTCCGTTCTCAAAACTAAATAAGTAGTATTAACGGCGATCGTTGGAAATTAAGCCTTAAAGACTCGTCAATAAGACTCCATTGGACAACAGAACGGAGTTAATTCTAGTTGAGACTGTGAGAGCGGTCGTCAAGCGGATTTTACTTTATGTGAAGAGTTGTCGAGAAAGCTGGCGGTTCACCTGATGTTAAGTGATTAGCACCGCGTATGTACGTCTGTAACACTGAGGGCTTGCAGATGCGTTGACAGCCTATAAAGAAAGTTGGCCCCGGTTACCTCACTCGCTAGATGACGCGCGAAAGTACAGAAGTAGTTGACTTTGACTTTTGACTACCACGTTAACGGGCTGAATTTTTAATTTCCCTTCCCTATTTTAAGTGCCTGGTCTTAACCAAAGGCGACATTTTCGCGTGCAAACGGCTTTGGATTCGCGAGTTCGGTTCTCAACGTCGCGGTTCCCGTTTTCGCATTTCTTCGCTGCAATCAGTCAAGCGTGATGCTTTGTGTACGGCGACAAGTTTATCGTCTGTCATGTGTGGGAGTAAGTTCCGTGAGGTCGTTCGCGCGAGTCATTCCCGTTTACATGTTAGTGACAGTCTTCAAGTTATCGCTATCCTTTAGTACTAAATAAATTTTATTAAAAGTGAAAAAAAAAATTGGCGCCAAAACGTGTAAATATTTAAGAGCACATTTGTATTTTTCAAAAAGGCTTTGCAAAAAAAACCTAATAAAACAGCACTCGTTACAGACATCACTAATGTCATTAAAGAAACCATTTTTAAATAAAGACATTTTTAATCATCTCATAACATAAAACGATAATTGATCGTTCGATAAACACATTCCAGCCAGTTTCTTCGAGTAAGTCAAATGCCTCAAGCCATTGGCGTAAGTTGGACACCATTTTGACCCAACATAAATTATTGTTTACGTGGAAGGCGCCAAAAAAAATTCCGAGGTTCCATCTTAAGTTTTCATTATACGTATATACATTCGATGTATTTGCGCCTTTAAAACAAGGTGATAGAGTATATATTCAGTTAACGTGGGTTGAGACAAATATTTAGGGGAAGTTTTTCGTCATTGAACATGTATCCTTATGTACATTACATAAGGTACATTTTGGAATAAGCAGTTTATTATCGAAAAGCAGTAGTCCCCCTAGCCCGGGAATGGCAGACATTTTTTTGCTCTAGTGTTGTATGCTGTCTATCGATATATTATTAAAAATTATTATTATTATAACAGGGTTGATGTAAGAACAGCTAAATTTAAAGTTCTTTTGCATATTATATGGTGCAACTCAAAAAACTTTTAGGTAATTCATAATGATTATGTTGTCAAGACTAGTTACTGAGAAACTTATCTTAGTAATGACATTAAAAATCATCCTAAACAAACAATGATTTAAATGTCTTAACATATCCTTGGCTCTCCATTTCTAATTTATTCATACCTACGATACTTTACAAATGCAAGTGATTACCAATATGAATGTTAAAATCAGATGTCTTCAATTTTTTTTTATCTTATATACATGTTTCGTTAAAACGCCAAAAAATATCTCTTAATCAGGTAATTTTTCAAAATTTTCTTCTATTTTTTTCTTTCATAATCAGCTATAATGATGATATAATATGTACTTTATTTTAGATATGGTTAAATAATAAGGGTATTCAGGTCAATTTAAAAACTTTGAAAATATAAAACGGTAAAGCGACTTTAAAAGATATGGTCTGCAATAAACATATCGATACTTGATTTTTATCGATAAGTCCAACACTTAAGCAAATATAGAGCGCCCTGGGGGGCAGCAAATCCCGCGGTCGTCCTATAAATAAATCACTAGTGAAAGAAAGAGAAAGTCGGTACTACAACACTAACATGTCGAACAGAGACGCCATAAGCAATCTAATTAAGGCATGCATGTAAAAAAACGCGCCAATTTAAACCTTATTCCATGACAACAAGTGCGTAAAATGTAACAAGTAATTGTTAGTAACAACATGAATATGTCATAAATCATACGATACATAAAAAGTTGTCTAGTGACTAACGATCAACTTCATGTTTATTTATTAAAATATTAAAAAAACAATACTCGAGTATTAAAAACAAAATTTATCACTCACAATGTAAAAAGCAGTAACCGATGAGTTTATTTTACAAAGTAATCGAAATAACACAAAAAAGTTCAAGAGAAATTCGAACGAATATTATCGTCTCGTTCCAAATTCGAAAATCGTATTAGGGCCGTGACGTGCAATACGACGAAACGGTAACGGAAACAGCGTATCAAATAAAAAATAACACGACGAATATTCCATATTCAAATTGAACAAAATATCTTACCTCTTCGAGTTCGTTCGAAACGCGGCCCGGGATACACAAAAAACTAAGGAGAACGAATTCAAAACGCCATAAATACGGTCACTCCGGACATCTTTCGCGACGAAATGGCTGCACGAATAACGTAAAAGATCCGTCCAACAGTAAGCAACGTCGCTACCATGCAACCTCTAGCGATAACGATGTTGCGACAGCGACGGTCGTGGTGAAGCAAAACGCGACGCTCACTATCGATCGCAACAAACTCGCTGTTTTCTAGTACCGGTTAGGCCTAACCAATGATAATACGCGGGGTACGAGCTCACCGTATTGGACGACGAAACGAACGAACGTGTTTCGAAATTCAAACACGTGCTGTGACCCCAATACCCTCTTGCTAATTCGATTGTAAACGAGACTAATATATTTATCTCTTTCTTGCACACAATTTTTTTCTGTTTGACCGAGCGAGAGGTCTGATTCGGCCGACGGGAAGTTTGTCATGGATTTGCTTTTGTTCCTTTGTTTCAAACAATATTACGTTCTATATCAGGCGCATAGAGATGAGAATTTCATGATGCATAAAAAATCGTTACGCAGAGGTGATGTCATGAGTACTGTATGGCTTCTATATGCAGACTTTAGGCCTAATCTTAGTTCAACATTGAATATAATTACCATTTCATTAAGGAGTATTTTTATAAATGCCTTGTCTATGGTATTTTATACTGATACGGTTTATTTAGGAGATTTATGATGATCCATTAATTAACAAGGAATAGTTTAACATGGCATCAAATGACTTTTTAATAAATATGACATTCTGTGCAACAATTACAAACACATAATATTATGATTTTTATTTAATGATATGTATCAGACGAGAGATGACGGGTCAAAATTGTTTATTTTTTAACAATTTTATTTGACATATTAGGTACTTTTAAACAGATATAGGTATCTATACATGTAAAATACATTTAGGTATTAGATATAGATTATTTAGTTTTTTTTTTGACACTATTTCAAACCCATCTGCTCGAAAATGAAATCATTTATATAAAAAGAAAAGAAACACATTAGGACAACGAAAACATGGCGACTCTTCGACATGGTATATAAATTTTAGCGGGAAAAACTAATAAACTATAATGGTAGATTATGATAAAATTTTGCATATTGGGTGTTCTCTTTAAATTTTTTTAGATGTAAGTACCTAATGATTAACCATAGCTTTACTTGGTTTTGTCATTCTTTTTCTTTTCTCGACAGCAACTTAGTTTCGATTAGGGATTTAAAAAAAAAATCTTGTAGCTTGAAGCTATTTGCCATTTGCAAATTAAACCGGTCTTATTCTTACTTAATATACGCAAAAGATAATGTACGGACGAGAAAGAAACCGGTTGTCCAATCTTCGGCAGCAAAACGACTAAAAATGCACCATATTTTGAAGGTTCAACGGAACGCACAGATTAGGCAAGTTTTAGTCAAAATACTTACAACATAATTGATAATTCTGTATTCATGTTCAAGAAGCTAGTTCATTTTGTTAGCAGTAGAGAAATTATCTCTCGCTGATCGCTACTAACTAAATGAATTTGTTAATTTTTGCGGGTTAAAACAATTTTTTGTTTTAATCCAGCGTATAATATATATGAAGTATTAGCTTAGAAATGAACTGAATTCAATATTTGCAACCCATCGGGCTATGCGCAATGCAGAAAGTACGTATATCACACTAAAAATATTTTTTTTATGTGAGAAAAGTTGCCATGCGAGCAGACGGTTAACCTGATGTTAAGTGAATACCACCGCCCATGAACATCTGCTACACCCTGAGGGTTACAGAGGCGTTGACAACTTTTTGAAAATTGCGCTCCGGCCACCTCACTCACCAGACGAGACGCGAGAGTATTTGTCATACTTCCACTTTACGCCGGTCTTCTGGTGGTGGTACTTACCCGGACGAGCCTGCCCATTCGTGCAACAGCCGTGGCTGCTGCGTGGCCCTACCACCGTAAAAAATCTGGCATTTTAAACAATTTGTGCGAGAAGTCGGCGTTATTTATTTATTAGGTTTCACGCGCCATCCTCCATCTAAGTAGTTTTTTCACTTGAACTTGTCCAGCATGCAGGCGGTTCAACTGATGTCAAGTGATTCCTGGCGCATACGGAGCATACGGCATCAATAAAAACGGTGGGGTGCAGTTGATTGCTAATTTCTAGAGATTTGGGCCCGGTAACCTCACACAAGAAGAAACGGTGAAGAATCTTCATCGTGGTATGGACACGCAGCCGCCTTTGACGTTGCACGAACGGGCATGCTTGTCCGGGGAAGTACCAGGGACTCGCAGAAGACCGGCTTGATGTGAATGGATTATAGGTACTTCTATGCTTCGTCTGGTGAGTGAGGTAGCCGGGGTCCGCTTTTATAAAGGTCGCGAAGCATCGCAAATGTCTCGGCGGTTATCATTTAACATCAGTTGAACCGTCAACTCGCTTGATACCTGCGGATGTTAAAAAGTTCCTCTTAATACTTCCAATTTAGGGTCGGTCTTCTGCGAGGCCATGGTGCTCTTTTGCAGATCTGTATAAGTAGGTATTTAAGCAGTATTATCGTTGCTTCCACTAAATCCAGTGACTCTAAGGCCACTTTACTGAGCAAGCTTCTAAGTTGCCTATTTCGTTGCCGCGACGAAATATTCCGAGTGGTTATTTGAATGAAGGTGCGGAAGTTTTCACCTAGTCCTATGTAGCTATTGTCTGTCGGTCGAGTCGAGCAGGCCTCTCGGCACCCTTAAATCGGAATCCTAAACGTCTATTAAGAACCCAAGCCGCGGTCCCTCCCGGGGGCCCTTGGGTCTAGTTGCCTCTAGGGGGCCTTGGCGCCTCCGCCAAAGTGGCCTAAAAGCTTGGCGACCTCCCAAAACAGTGTTAATACCAATGGAGTCTTGGAGACGACCAAGTTACCTCGGGAGCGCTCGAGCTTAGTCCCCCATAATCGAGATATAGCAGTGCTGGGTTAAGCAAACGCGGGGCCCGTAGCAAGCAATCTTTCTAACCGCCCTTGATCTGCTATGGGTTCTTAAGTATAAATTGGTAAGATAACAATTCAATACTCTTAATTGTTTAATGAGTTTCACTCTAAAAATTAGGCTCAAGCCGAGATCAGTGGGTTTAAATGTAAGGGCTCCCTTTGACGCGGGGCCCGTAGCAATTGCTACTCTTGATGCGTGGTTAATCCGCCACTGAGATACAGGCTAGGCGCACTTAGTGCCCAGCCCTCAAGCCCTGTGGAGCTGTAAACGTATTAACTTGATTTTAAAATTCCTGTCATTTGCCTGGCCACGGAACTGACTGAGACGTTAAACGTATAAATGTCATTGTTAGTCCGGGCTATCGCCAGTTTATAATTTATGACGATTTTCTTCATTCTTTTTTAATTAAGAAAATTTTATCACAATAGCGTTCGTAATTATTTTCTCATGTTAATTACACCGTTAGCATCGCTCAGGCGTCTCAACTTGACAAATTAAATCAGTATATGGAAACGGTGTCATAATACAGCGCCATCTATCGGAAAGCAAATAACGACATCGACCGATACAGCTATTCTACGGTTATTTTGATTGAATCTATGTAGGTTTGAAATTATTATTATTACTAGCGACCCGCCCCGGCTTCCTACGGGTGCAATGTAGGTATAATCCTAGGTATAATCCTATTATACATATGAACCTTCCTCTTGAGTCACTCTATTTAGTAAAAAAAACCCCATCAAGATCCATTGCGTAGTTTTAAAGATCTAAGCGTACATAGGGACAGACAGACAGCGGGACGACTTTGTTTTATTATAAAAAAAGAATTAGCGAAATAAGTCCAGCCGTTCACGCGTGATGGCGTGACCAAGGGAAATAGGGATTGATTTATATATATATAAATTGAATCTATGTAGGTACTTCAAATCATTATATGGTCGGTGTTAGAAAACATATTAGAAGTACATATTCGTCAGAGGGCTAAATTCGCGATTATAGTCTGACTAGAAGAATACTGTAACGTTTTTTCATTTCACCAATCAATGAAGGGTAATCAAGTAGGCTTGTTATTTCTCAGTGTATTAAAGGACGTGTTAATTGAGTGCATATTATTCCATTGCTTATCATGGCTTCAGTAGATTCAGGGTGGATTTGTATGCTGGAAAGGATATAACAATAGATGCGCCAAGCATTGCTTCAAATGCTAAAATAACAATGTAGAAAGAAGGCGTTAAGATTTTCGTCGATGTGGCTATCAGCTGTTTAGCTCAGTGGCTAGAGCGTCAGGCCGCGAATGCCGAAGTCGTGGGTTCGATACCCACAGCGGCGACAATCTTTTCGTACTTTTTCTACATGTTTTAAGATTCAGGGTGTTCAACAATACGGCCGGACACCGTCGCTTTTACAAAAACGGTTGATTTCACTTCGGAAGAGCGCCACGAACTCACAGAAGAGCCAGCTCCATAGGTGAGTGAGGCTACCAAGATCTGTAAGGCCGTCAAAGCCAACACACGTGCGGTAGTCACATATAATTTTGGATTGCATTTTGTGTGGAAGGGTTTGGGTAGTAGAAGCTTTTGTGGCATTTGTGGGTTTTGTGGCGTTTGTGGCTTTTGTGACACTTTGTGTGGAAGGGTTTGGGTAGTAGAGGAAGATTTTGTGTGGAAGGGTTTGGGTAGTAGAGGAAGATTTTGTGTGGAAGGGTTTGGGTAGTAGAGGAAGATTTTGTGTGGAAGGGTTTGGGTAGTAGAGGAAGATTTTATGTGGAAGGGTTTGGGTTGGTTTGGGTTTGGGTAGTCTAATTGTCCCAACAACCACTGCAACCTAGAAGATCTATTTTAGTCTTTCTATCGAAAATATTATCACCGTCCTGTGTAGTAAGGACGTTTTCTACCGACTTCAAAATAGTAGGAGGTGCTCAATTCGACTGTTTTTTTTATGTTTGTTACCTCAGAACTTTCTATGGATTGAACCGCTTTTGACGATTCTATTTTATTTGAAAGCTGGTGCTTCCCATGTGGTCCCATATTATTGGTATTGGATCTTGGGCTCCGGAGATACCTAGGAAAGTCTTAGAACTTACTAAGAAAAAAATAAATTTGATTCTTCATTGATTTTCAGGACTTTTTAGTTTAGTCTTTTTTATGTTTAAATAAGTAGGTAGTTTAGTTTTTAAGAAATTATATGTGAATTATAGTTATATTATGTTGATTTTTAGTTACCTATTTAGTTTTAATTAGGTTAGATTATCATAATTTTGTATCATATGTACGATATTAGTAACAGAAATAAATAGAATAGACATTAAAAAAAAATATAAAAAGTGAATACAGAGCGGGATATTAGAAGTCGTTAATAAAAAATTAAAAATTTTCATGTGGAATTTCGGAACAATTATCTGTGGGTCACACAAATAGTTGCCTCTTGTCGGAATCGAACCCACGATCCACGCTGAAACCAAAACTCGGTTACTGCGCCCCATGGTGAGCCATCAAGGTCATACCAAAATCTCTTCATAGCGAACAACGAGACGCGCACAAACAAAACTAAAAGTTTCAAGTTTTATAATCAGGTGGACGTCAAAGAGTGCATGGCGCAATAACTGAATAATGGGGACTTTATTATTTTCTTAATAAATTTTATATTATATTTTCTTCTTTATATTTTCTTAGTAAAGTAAAAGTAAATTAACAGCCTATACATGTCCCACTGCTGGGCAAAGGCCTCCTCTATACAGAGGGTATCAGGGCATAGTCCACCACGCGGCCCCACTGCGGATTGGCGGACTTCACATATCTTCGAAAATATTTTTTTTGTTATTATTTCGAAAATATGCAGGTTTCCTCACGATGTTTTCCTTCACCGCGGAGCACGTGATAAGTCAGAACTTAAAGTTAAAAACTTCATTGGTGCCGGCACCGGGGATCGAACTCAGGTTGCTCGAGTATATTGAATTAAAGGCGAGCGCCCGGACACTGAGCTATCACGGCTCTTCTTAATAAGATCAGTGTGTAATTGAATTACGTTAAATTGAAGGAGTTATTATAATAATAAGGCGATGTTACAAATGAACTTTCAAATGTCCAGTTTTCAAGGGGGCCATGAGCCCCATGCATCTCCGTAGAAACTGATTGTGGATCTTTTAGTCAATAGACACACTCACAAATAAACTCCCACAATAGATTCTAAGAGCCCACCGTAACTCCTTTCGTTAAAGGTTCTACGAGGTCTTCATCGAATACTTTTCAGAAATATAACATTTCCTCGTCCCGTCCTCCGTTTGATTACTATATGCTTATATTTTTAATATCTTCAATGCAGTGTATGAGCTATTAATTTTCACATTATCGAGGTCAGCAACACCACCAGATGGGACGGCAGCCAAACCTATCCTTGTATCCTTCTATCTTCCTTGTATCTAGTCCTTAAAGTGATCCCAGTGAAATACAATATTTCGCTCGGGTTTGGAAGTAGATCTATTTATATAAAGAACAACAGATTTTACTTACCAAAACTCGACAATGCCTTACGTCAGAGAAGGTCCAAGAAAAGGTATTTAAATTTTAACCATAAAAGTTTGGCAAAGTATGCATTACATTTTGTTGTTAGTTGGTTAGTTAATTTTATACAGGCTGCAACACTTCTACTTCTACACACCGCTTAGTGTTTAAAATGTGAAAAATTCTTTGGTCCGTGCCAATGAAACTTGTACCTGTGAACTTATCTCGTAAGTACTACATTCCAGCCTATACATTTTTTTATGTTTTAAAATTAATTACAAGTTCTATTGATTAAAATAATACTTATTAAAATAAAAGACAAAAGAGCGCGAACCGAAGGTACATCGGTGTGAATTACTTTGGGAGATACTTACTCCGTTTTATGATTTTATCTCCAAGAGTTATGTTTAATAATTATTTTTAAATATTTTAATATATTTCTCTAGTTTCGATAGGGAGATAGGCGTGTTTATTTAAGAAATGCATGTAAATTATGCATGTAACACAGAATAATATGTGACCAATTTAAAATTAAAAATCAACTTATGGTTAAAGCATACTATACCATTGCGGAATATCTCGACGACCCCGATGTGTGGAGTTAATACTGTTGATACTCACGGCTAGAATAAGACTATTATACCTGTATGTTATATTGTTAATTGATTCTTTTGAAAAAGAGCAACTGTTGAGTTTTTTGCCGGTCTCTTCTCAACAGAAACTGCTTTCCGGACCGGTGGTACCTTACGAACCTATATACATATTTTTTAATGTAAAATTTGACGATTCATAAGAGCGCACAAGCGTCTATTTGAATAAACATATTTTCGATTTTGATTTTGATTTTTATCCTAAAGTAAGGATACTATTTCGAAGGCAAGACTACTCTGTGGTTTTACTTGTAATAGTTGTGTTAAATCGCATTATTACTGACAAATGGTTGCATTCTCCTTCTGTTCTGTAATGTCCAGTTTCAAAATAGTTAATTTACTTGTAGTAAAAACATCCGTAATTTTATGCGTGAAACTTACATTTTAAATATGGGCCACTGTTTATATGTCCTTCTGTGTACTTGCCTACGTCTTAAGTACCTAGATTTATAGGGATTAAATGTGGCTTACGTTAACTAATAAAAATAAGACGAGCAGTAAAATAAATAATTCCCGCGTATTATATTTAAATGCCCGGTGTAATATATTTATACAACATAGTACGGCGTTAAGAAGAGAAAAAAGATATCATCTGCTATAACACATATTATAAGGTTACATAAAATGTGAGTTAACAATAAAAGCGACAAAATGTCGGTACATTGATAATATTTGTGGAATCTCTATCAACTATAAAAGGCTTACGTGACGAGAATCACGCTGTCAGAAGTTCGTATACAGTTGAAGCGTCAAGCCACCATATAAGCAGTGATTGAGCGGGAAAAAACCTACAGATGAAATGTGAAGAAGACGTGTAATCTATAAGTTTTCTCTTTAATTGGCCAGCAATTAATCCCTATTTTTGATTCCTACAATACCTTACAATTTTACTCGGATTCAAGTTTTGAAACAACGTTGAAAGTTAACGTAGTTAAATTAGAAATTTTTTCGCGGCTCAAAGAAGTATTTCCATTTGTGTGAAAAGATTAAAGAAAAAAAAATTATAATCCTTTTTTGTAAACAGTCACATAACAAAAGGAGATTGATCGGCTTTCACACATTGTTGAGCCCAAATGTATTATCTATGATGAAAAGAGTAGATATTATATCAAAGCTAGACAGAAGTATAAGTTTTTGTGAAAGTAAGATTACGTAGGTATCAATAAGTAGGTACCTACTACATATACTAACAGTTACTTAATAGTATAGTACTTATTTAGAAATAGTCTGTTTTCCAAGTGTACTGATATGATCATTATTTGTTGTAAAGCCAGGAATGAGATTAACTATTATCGATACAATAAACGATGCACTGTTAAGTAGAATTAAATATAGATTATACTGTTATAAGACTCATAATATCATATTAAAAAAAAAAAAAAAAAACGCCTGTCTGTCTATGAAGTGTAAACAATTTTTTTACATAATTATGGTAGTAAAAGTCCCTACAATTCATAAGACGATTGCTTGACGATTGCAGGCGAAAAGAAGAATGTCCTATATAGAATATGACAATTTATTTGAAAGTAATTTATCTTCGTTTTTTGAATCATTTAAAAAAATGCTAAGAAGCATATTTTTAATTTTACTCGTACAAAAACATTGACATAGGTTAAATTAATTTTTAATCTTAGGTAAGTGCAGAGATTAGCACTATAAAAAGATTAAAATTAAAATAGGTATTACGAAATTAATTTAAATCTTATAATTCACGCCACACCACTTTTATTTGGACTTCTATTGGTATATAAAGAGATAAGTCAATTATTACTGATATGGTTATGTGAAGTAAGTTATTAATTTTTTATATCATCAGCTGGAGGTTATTTAATTGATGCTGGAAGCATTAAACAGGCTTTGAATTTTGAACAGTCTCTTATTGAGGTACAAAAACATGATAACGGTGGTCGGTGCACCTTGTGTTAACTGTACATTACATAGTCTGAATGGTCTGAATTTTATTCAGTGTAAGAATGCGCGCGTAAATCAAAATGCTTAGTAGTAAGCCGGCCACAATCTTGAGACGAAAAACGGTTCAAAAATTAAGTGTAGAGGAAAGTCACCAAATATGGAATAGTGTCCTAATATGGAATAAAGCAATTTCTCTAAGAATATAAGTATGAAACGAAACACATGACCATCTTCTGTTTCATTCGGTCTATTTACTACCTCACTCACACCATCGTGTTAGTTGCGCGAACGCTACAAGTGTGGCTGGTGTTTTTTGTTTTGTTGTCACGCAAAATTTTAAAGGTAAGTAATAATTGAGTATTACCAGTTATTACGTATGTATACATAGGTGTTTTACTATTTAGTATATCGATATTATGTTTATTTCAACGTTTTGTGATATTTTGTCATTAAAATATTGTGATTTGAAAAAATATTTAGATGATTTTAAACAAGTATAAAAATCCAAAATGGACAGTCGTCGGTGTCTAATTATGGAATATTCCATAATTAGGTCTTTATATTTCACATGTTAGGTACTTGCTACTATTTCTTTAAAAAAAATTATGTTATGTTTGTTTTTAGAATGTCTGCTTCACAATCAACCAAGAAACGAAAAACCTGGGATGAAGAAAAAATGGCAGAAGCTATAAAATTCGTCCGGGGAAATAAAATGGGATATTTGAAAGCAGCACAGCATTTTGAAAGAAAAGCTGCTATAGCAACAGTCATAACATCTTCACCCTACAAAAATTATTTAGTAAATAAAAATATGACAAGAAAAAGAAAGTAAGACAAAGAATAAACAGAAAACTGCGAAGAGAAACAAACAAACGAAGAAAAATAGAAATTATCGTGAAGAAGAAGACTCTAAGGAACGGGACGTCATCCAGTTTGATGAAGACAGTGAACATGATGAGTTGATGGACCAAGTATCTCCTGACTCTGCTGATGCAGAATGTATGTTCTGTTCAAACCTTTTCTCCATGGATAAAAGTGGTAAATGTTATTTTAATTTATTTGATCTCATAGATATTTATGTCTATTTTTGTTATTGATATGATGATTTATGCTTATATTCCATATATGGGTACCTATTCCATATTTGGTTACTTTTGTGATTTTTGTTTTGTGTTAGATTTTAATTTGGTAACTAATATATTTGATAAAGGCTGTTATTACTAAATATAAATGTCTGACTGATTAGTAATTACATTAAACAGTTTTAGTTTCTATGAAGTTTTTTTTTTATATCCCTGAAACAAAATGGTATTCCATATTGGGTGACTTTCCTCTATTAAACAATCACTTTAAGCGTTAAATACATATGACACCAACAGCTTACAAATTGAATGCATGAAAATGGTCATAAATTAGCTATCGTAAACGTAATAAGTCGAACATGTTTATATACAAAAGGCAAAATCTACTTCAAATAGGTCTGTCTATATAATCGCTATACATTTTCTATTGCATTTTGAGTATGTATCTCGGAATCCAAGGTCCCACTCCAATGATTTTAATATAACACCACATCGTTTCATAAAAAACGGTGTTCTGTGGCAAGAAACATAAGGAAAAAATAGAACTGAGTTTAATAAACTTTTCTTTAAGTCGTTGAAAAAAATACATCATCATTGCAAATATTCCTCGTCCTTCGACGTTAACATTCTGCGAATTATTCCAGACTAGGGACACCTTCGAGCAATCGATTTATCAATTGTCACTTGTGTAATATTGTCCCATCAGTCTTGTGAAGGACTTGTATGACGTTTTTCGATCAAAGTTTAATAGAGCCGAGTTCGGGGTTCTGATGCTGTGGATTAAAACACATATTATGTTTCTATATATAAGTATTCCGTGCTTGTGTATGTCACTCTCCTACTCCTCCTATACGGCTGGAGCGATTTTAATGAAATTTTTTGAGTGTCTTCAGGTCGATCCGAAAATGGTTTACATTCACAATTAGTTCCACTACAATTTTTTTTACGTTTGTCGGGTCCGCTAGTTTTTTATAATATTACAAACCAATTCAAATTAAAGTCATGCATCCATTGGAAATGTTATTTTTTTATAATTCCTTAGAGTTGAAGGTACTCCTCTAGTCCCATACTCCAAGAAACGTCCATTCATAATGGAACCACCACCGTACTTGACATGACCACACAGGGCCGTCATTTTTGTACCGCGTGCGGAACTAACTAATCCTCAGCAGGTTCCACCACCATTATGTCAAAAGTAGGTGTGGTTCTTTATGTAAATTTGATTTGAAGGCAAAACTCAATAAATACAAAGAAGTAAAAAGTTGTAAGTTTTATAATGGGATATTACAGATTTTTTTATCCTATCGTAGTGAGTTCGTGAAATAACAATTTAATGTTCAATTTAGGGACAAAGTCATACTTTTTATCGGAATGTGATAATGAACCTATCCCTAGGTTCGCGCCTACCGTTCAGCCATTATTCAATACCTTGGAATACCATTCATTTCACAGAGTTTACACTTTTATGACAACATAAAAACTAAGTACGAGTATCTAATAATTGCAAGCGATTCATTTCTTTATTTTATTTAAGACTAAGACTTATATGATGACTCGATTTTAAAATCTACATCGTCTGTATTTAATTAGTTTGCTTCTTCGTCCATCTCTCTTACAATATACTGCCGGGGCATTCAAATGTGGATCCTCTTTTATACTCGTTTGCGATTACACAGGTAATGTGGATATACCCTCATTTGCATAAGACAACGAATGACAAATCACTTAACAAACTAAGAATATTAAAGATTGCTGACCATTAACAAGTGATATTTCGACAAGATAGACAAACATTTTAAGATTAATATATTTAGAATTGCATTTGTTATTTATCTTTATAAAATGATTCATTAAAAAACTTTTACACGATATAATAAGTTTATTTTTTACCTTAGTTTCGATAAATTTTTTTTAATTATCTTTAATTTAATTAATCTTATCTAATTAATTATCTATTAATCTTCTTTAATTTTCTTTAAATTAATTTATCTTTAATTAATCTTATCTTATTTATCTTTAATTTCTTTTATTATCTTTAATTTTTTACCTTAGTTTCGATTAATTTTCTTTAATTATCTTTTTCTAATACACGATAATATTACAATTTGTTGGTTTCTCAGAAGTATGACTGTAAGATGGCTCCTAAAATAAGTTATAATTATTGTTGTTATATAAATAATTGATCATTAACGCTAATGAGATGGTACAGGAGCTCGGAAGTAATGGGAAAGTGAATATTTTAATTAATACTCCTTACCAAGTTGAGCAAAGCAACAGATACAGGCGTAAAATATTGAATAAGTTTTACTAGCCATCAACTACAGCTTTTTATACTTATATTTCTGAAATAAACTTCTTACTTTTTCTATGTATTCCATAAAAAAAAATTGTTTACAAGTTGTTTATTACTATTTGTATTTAATTCAATAGTTGTTTATTACGAAATCCGACCGATTCAATGACAATATTGATTCATTCGGATTACGAATTGAAAAACTGATTAAAGAGACTCTTTAAAGGCTGTTTCCGCCGCTTGGTGGATTCAAATGGAAACAGCTAAAAAACTCAACTGGCTCTCACGACGGTAACGCTTTGCGCCGTATAAGCCGGCCATTAGCCAGAACGCGCTTCCGTTCGTAACGCTCACCAAAATGTCCGACAGCTCCGACATAGAGATACAGACCACGCTGCCGAAGAAGCAAACGAAGAAGATGCCGAAGTCGCCCTCCGACGAAGTACTGAAGGCCAACGAGGAACCGAGGAAGCCCAGCACCAAGGTGATGGTCCACCAAGCGCTGGCCGACTTGAGGAGCAGGAAAGGCACCTCCATGTACGCAATCAAGAAGTACATCCAAGAGAGGTTCGGCGTGGACGTCGAGAAGATTAACTACATAATAAAGAAGCTTATCAAAGCAGAGGTCGAGGCAGGTACGATCATCCAAACGAAGGGTGTCGGCGCTTCAGGCTCCTTCAAACTCGCCGTGGGGAAGGAGAAGGTCGAACAGAAGAAAGCTATGGCCAAGAAGCTCGCGGAGAAGGTCAAGGCGAATGAAGAGAAACCGAAGAAGACCAAGGAGACGCAATCTAAGCCTAAAACTAAGAGCCTCGAGAAGAAGGTCGCGAGCGGCAAGGCCAAATCGAAAGTGAAGGGACGGGAGGAGAACATGAAAGAGAAAACTAAAGAGAAAACGAAAGAGAAGACAAAAGATAGAAAGAAACAAAAAGACCCGAATGCGAAGAAAGCGAGAGCGATGCAAACTCCCGCGAAGAAAAGGGCCGCACTTCTTAAAAGAAAGAGCATCGGCTCGATCATAAAGCCACCGAAAATGCGGCCAAAAGCTAAGGGCTAATTCTGCCACCTTTTATATTATTATTTTTAATTGAAATTTTTCTATAATTCATTGTTATAATAATTGCCTATTATTGAATATATTTTTGTAAAAGATACATATTGAAAAAAATGTTGTAAATTACAAGAAAAATACGCACCGATTTGCGGACATACGTATAACTATTTAAGAATAGTTACATAGTTATATTTTTGTTTGGATATGCCCGCAGTAAACAGTGACATATAGATATAACTTCTCATTATTAATAATAGATGTCACAGTCAAATAACTAACTATTAGAGATATTTTAGATTATTTATGTAAACAATCTCGATTGTACAATGTTTAAAATATAAATAAAAATATATTTCGACTTAAACGAAATCCGATATTCGTTTAAAATTGAAACCACTACGCCCATTACGAATTCCTATATTTTTTTACCTCAATTGAAAATTTTGTTTAAAGTTTAAGGTTTACCGTAGGTCTTGACTATCGCAAAGTCTACAAACATTTGCGGCAATACTTACCATCTCCTAGCCTGTTAGATTCATTGGGTATCACATTTTTGTGAGAAGGTGGCAAACGCGCTGGTGGTTCACCTGATGTTAAATGATAACCGCCGACCATTGATTGGCATTTGGAGCCTATAGGGTTGCAGATGCGTTGCCACCTTTTAATATCGTGTGCTCTGGTTACCTCACTCAATAGATGTGGCCATACCACATCTAGGATGACACGCAAAACTGGGATACATTGATATATTTAGATTCATCAAAATCTCACCACAGTGCCTAACGGTGTTCAACTACTTTTCGTTGTCAAATCTAAATCTTCTGCTGCCAATAGATTGCCGAAGAACTCGCCCAGTTTTGGCTTCCATTTAGATTAAAATAAAATTGTATTTCATACAAATACGGCATTTATTCACTTAAATACTATTTACATCGTAGTTTTTACCATTTAAATACAAAAATACTCCGCTTACGTTAGTCCCTTTACGAGTAGCTCTACTTCACTAAGCTTAAACCGTTCAGTACGAATAAAATAAAAAAAAAAAACATGCAAAACTAAAATGGTAACATTCTCGTATAGACATCTTAAATGTAAACGCTGTACTGGTAATTTTAAATTACGTAAAAACAATATCAAAACATAACATGATTACGGTCCAATAAGGGTTGTTATGTAAACAAGTAAAACGAAATAGTGAAGAAGTGATAGAAACATTCAGAAATAGAAAATAAATATTTTTTTAACTATTATATTGGTATTTAAATATGATACACGGCTCCTAAATAATAATTTAAAGAAAAAGCTTTATTTATTATTAGGCAAAGTGTGTTGTGTATTTACCTATTTTATCTTATATCCTGAATCTGTAACTAATAATAAAGAAGTATAATATATATCTATCCAGACAAGACTTAAATACCCATATAATAATAATAAAACTCTATCATTATTTTTAATTATACAGTCGTTTTAAAATAGACGTCAGATATCAATGCGTCTCACATATAATCACAGATTCATCACGATTTTTATAACCATAGTTTAGTAGACTAGGTTTAGAGTTATTTAAAAAAAACATCCGAAATGATCTCTGTACTAAATAATTACAAGTTATAGAGAACATATTTTGTATCAACATAATTATCAATTTATGAAATTAACTTTATTTAGAAACTAGTGGTATAACATAAAATAGGAAAGAAAAAAAATCAACAAATTGAAATGAATGCACTCTTGTCCCAAATTATAGCTTTGTATTGTTTTTACACACGTGATGTCAGGGAAATTAAAGATTTAGATCATAATGAAGTCTCTATTTCGAAAGTTATACGTTATAGTTGTACCCAGATTGAAGACCACTTCTTTTATGTTAAAATATGTAGAAAATTAAATTCTTTTTTGTTTCTTTCAAAACTCGAATAGTGCAGTCTAAGCTGTTATAGCATAAATTGAATGGTACATTTATTAATAAAATATTTTGAATATTTAAATCAACAGAAAAAAAAAACTGTTAAAAAAATCAACAAAACTAGATGACATTTTACCAAATTAATAAAAAAAAATTGTACAATTGATTTAAATATAAACGTAAAACAAATACAGATTAAAAAAAAGAGCAATCGATGTAAACAGCATCTCTTAATATATCCTAGCGTGTTCCCGTTTTTAATGTACATAATATGCAAATTCATCTTTTCATAACATATTAATGTCGCATAATCTGTAGCTAAATGTTCTAAGCGTGGAAATTTCCTACGAGTAAAACTAAGCTAAATCTTCAAAACCATACATATAGGAAATCAAATAGTTTGTAATGTACAACACAAATGCGACATTTGGCTGGAAGACGCGTATCATTTGCTTCACGGTGGGGCAAAAAGAAACAAATAAAATCTATAACAAACGAATATTGCAACATTATTTCCGACAAAAGCGGTCATACACATCATTGGCTGAAACTTATAGTACTACAGAATATATTACATTGATTCATTGGAGGTGATCTACAACGTTTTCAACAACTAATCACATATCATTTCCGAATGCTTTCAACATCAACTCGAAAACATTTTAAATAATAACTTATAACTTAGATTACATTGATTACAAGTTTCTCAAGTATATAAAACCTATCTACACAATTCATAGAGCGCGGGGTATTATTGTGAGATATTAATAGATTCACATATTTTATGTATTACATTCGGCAGAAAGAAAATTAACGACAAAATATGGAAAATGGTGCAGCAGAAATAATTTATTTACTTAAAAATACTTTTACCTCCACTAATGGGTGTCATGGATATGGCTTAAAAATGTAAATAATGTCTATAATATAAGATCAGGCCATATGTATTTACGATTTAAATGTTTTATTATTTTCATGACAATTTAGGTTTTGGTTCCATATGCATTGTTTTGGTTATAATGCTCAGTGAAGACAAAGGTCATTTCTCATACATAAGACACATTTTTCCATTCTATTATTTAATGTTTTCTTTCTAAGAACGTTTTTCTCATTATCATGGCAATTTCGGACTAGCCGAGCATTTCGTAATAAATTCGTGTTACATTTATAAAGGCCAATTTATTGTGCGTCGAAGGGCACAACACTGAACACTCATTAATATAAAACAAACACCAGAATATCATTCATATATAACGTAAAATATAATTGAGGTAATGTAACAGTTACACTTAGGAAAAATTTGGAGGAACGCGAAATGAGTTAGTTTCATAGTTTAGTACGTTGTCATTACCAGTTCGTTTCGTAAATCACTATTAAGTTATATCAGTGTGTGTAATTAGATAGTAAAAAGATATTTTTTGCTTTTTTAACATTTCGTTTCAGATATTCTTATTCGGTGTTAACACGGTAACGTATAGTGTATTGTAAGAAACTGTCTTGACGTAATAATTGAAACGTGATTAAAACGCATTTGACATGTTTATTAACCGTTTTCAAAAAAGGAGGAGGTTTCTCAATTCGACCGAATAAATTTTTATTTTTTATGTGTGTTCGGGGATAACTTCGTCGTTTATGAATCGATTTTGATGATTCTTTTTTTTTTGTTGGAAAGGAGATATCCCAAGGGTGGTACCATGATAAGGAAACCCAGATCAGATGATGGCATCCCAGAGAAATCGAGGGCAATCCTCAAATATTATAGGTGTTCACAACGCTTTTAGTTTCCTGTTTGAAGTCGGTTTTTTTTTGTTCAAAATTATTTATTTTAATTTTATTATTGTTTTTATTTTATTATATTATTAATGTGATGGTGGTTAATGTAGTATTAATATACAGAGACCACCCGATATGTCGAGAATGTAAGTAGAGTAAGAAAAAGGCGCTCTTGTAGAACAATGAAATCAAATCTCACGAAATGTTATTGTAATGGTTTATGATAACTTTACCAAATAGTGAGTGTGGATCATTAAAAGAAATAATCCGTTAGTTTTTACAACGTAAAGTATTTTTTGATATTATTTTTTTAATCTTTATTGCACTAAAAACTGTACAAGAGCGAGCTATATATTTGTAAAAATAATTGTAATAATAGCAAATCTATACGGTATTCTCATTAGTTTGTGTATGAATATTTATGTCATCAATTTCTTTTTCCTTACAAGACAATTAAGACCTATATTATTATTCTTTTGTTGCGTTCCTCCAATTAGGTTCATAAATGTAAAGTTACAACTTTAAAAACTAGTCTCGGACCACCGGTGTCTTTTTTTACCCGACTGCGCCAGAAGGAGGGTTATGTTTATCGAGAGTATAATATATGTATGTATAATTGTTTGGCAAGTTCTGCAGCCTGAACGGCGCGATGGATTTTAGCTCGAGACGTGTCGTTAGATTCGTATTTACTGTGACAGTGTCACTGGGTATATCAAAACAAAAATTACACAGAAACGCTGTCGGGTTTTTTTAATTAATTGAATTATTTGACACCTCGTTTACGATTAGCAACTCATTTGAACTTTGAAGTTTGATTTGAAGGTACCTACGATTACCTTCAAAACCGCATAAAAATACGGGCCAGTTTTAAGAAGCTCCATCTAAATGTATTTGAACGAAACTTGAAAACTGACACATAGTAGTGTATGTTCATGAACTCTAACATTTTACGGAAATTATTGAACCAAGCAAACATATTGAGAAGTTATGACGGTATATTTACAAAAAGCAATGTTAGCCGTTGCTGAATGGATGTATTTACGAGAGATTATATTCCCCAGCCGATGTATTTTAATACGTTGATTGGGACTAGGGATGTCGAAAGAATAAATATATCGATATTTATAAAAATATCAATATCATCCTCGATATATCGAAGAGCAAATATCAATATATCGGATACAGCTCCTACTAACCCTTTGTCCAAAAAAAGTGTGTCAAGTATTAAATATTTGACATCAACGGACTCTGTGTCGGAACCAAATTTGAAAATATATCGTTTCTAATACGATTTTTGACATTGAATATTTCGCAGAGACATATCGATATATCGGATCCAAACATATGGGCTGAAAATATCGATATATCGATATTTTTTCGACATCCCTGATTGGGAATGTCGAGGACTGGTCCGGGGTGAGTTCGGACACTTGACGATTCGGGACCGCGTCTCTTCGCGCAATCGGGAAGGTCCAGGTCAGCACCAGCTGAGGAGTTGGGGGCCTAGAAGAGGCCCTTGGCCCTGCTCTCGGCCGCGAACTTCCTCACGTGGACGATGTAATCCAGCATGACGGTGGCGAAGGCGGCGTCCAGCACGAACTGCGGTATCTTGCCTGCAAAGAGTGACGTCAGGGTGAATGCAGAACAGAACAGAAGAGTAATTGCCTGCAACGAGTGACGTCAGAGTTAATGCAGAACGGAACGGAAGAGAGGCGGGCGACCGGAATCCGTGATATTCTTCTGTATTACAATAAGAGTTACTCCATGGTAACAGTAACACAGTTATCACAACATTGTATGAAATGAATAACTGTGGTAGGGCCACGCAACTGTGTTCACTGTTGCACGAATGGGCAGGTGCGGCTTAGTACCACGACCTCACAGAAGACCGGCGCGAAGTAGAAGTGTTACACTTCTGCGTTTCGTCTGGTGAGTGAGGTAGCCGGGGCGCACTTTATTTAAGGTGGCAACGCATTCGCATCCCTACTGGTGTTGCAAAAGTAATCTTGAGCTTATTAGTGAAAAATCTTTTCTTTACTAGATTAAACTAAGGCAAGTTATCTTATATTTTAGAAGCGTTATGCACATATCGCGCATTTGCATTTTTTTCGAAGATATGTGTAGATAAGTCAGCCAATCCGTAGTGGGGCCGCGTGGTGGACTATGCCCTGATACCCTCTGTACAGAGGAGTAGGCATGAGATATACCTGCAACATTCTATACCCGGCCTCAAAGGTACGGGTATCGCCGTATACCCGGTGCTAAAACCCAGTATCAAAATACCTATAGGTATTAGTTACGTTCAGGCCTCCTTTTGGAGTCTCGGTCGAGTCAAACGAATTGAACCTTTGGTTGGAACATTTAAATGTTTTTTTAGCAATCAGTTTTTTTTAAATTGAGATTTAATCAGTCTAACATAAGCTCCATCTTTACTAACGTAAAGAACCCTATGATCAAAAAAAAAGTAATTCAAAATAAATATTACTGTTTACTGTAACCTTCTTACGCAATTATTTATTTAACTTATGGTCATAGAAACAAAGAATAAATGTATCTCAAGGAATTATTTGGTATAAAATGCCTCATACGTTTCAATTCGGGCATGATCGGGAAGAGCCGCCGTAAGCGTTCGGGGAACTCCGTACCTATTCGGCCGGGTTGTCGCGAGCGTTATATACCGCCACCGTCGGACGAGGCGGCCATATTTATCGGGTATGGAACGGGCCTCTATCGTACATACCCGGTGTGCGTACTGGTATGTTCATACTGGGTATTTATACCTGTTCCAGTATATACGCCTCATCCCTACACAGGAGGCCTTTGCCCAGCAGTGGGACATGCACAGGCTGATACTGTGCACATATGTCGCAGCAAGCAATGTTTCTTTTCACAATAAAATTAATATTATTATTACTGTTACAGTTAAGTTACAGGAACAGACGTTACAGGTAGGTACTCGATTTAACCCAGTATAACTCAGTCCTACTGTGAACTTGATTTTACAATTTTGTGCACTGTAATTGGTCGGGGGGGGGGGGGGGGGGGGGGGGGGCGTGGCTAGGCGTAGAACGAAGACTTGGAATTTTCTAAACCTTTCGAGTATTTGAGTATATGAGCCTAGTTGTAGTGTGAAGTCATTTCTTCCTTCCTATTTTGAGTAAATATAGCTAAATTAATAAGGCTAGTTGCGCAGTAGTTCCCTGACCAGATGATCGGCAAAGAGCTGATGAAAATTCGACAACGGATATCAGTTAAATATACCGGAGAAAAAAGAAGGACGAAGGGTTGAGAGGCTACAATGGTTCGTTGGACAGGGAACCCGTTTTTAGGGTACCGTACCCAAATGGTGAAACGGGACCCTATTACTGAGACTCCGCTGTCTGTCTGTCTGTCCGTCTGTCACCAGGCCGTATCTCATGAACCGTGATGGGCACTTGAAATTTACACAAATACTAAAAAACAGAATAAAAAATAATATATTTAAATGCGGCTCCCATAAAATAGACACGATTTTTTTTGCTCTTTTTATAGATAACGGTACGGAACCCTTCATGGGCGAGTCCGACTCGCTCTTGGCCGGTTCTTAGATCTATGACGGTCTCTCACCCTTCAGGTCGCAGCACATGAGCCAGTGGAAGACTGTGCACTCCTCAATCTTACCCCCCGCCGTCTGCACGGTCTTCGGTTTCATCACCCAGCAGCCCACCTTGTTGTTGCCCCTGAAAGTGGAACAAGGCCAACAGATTTAACAGCCGCGAAATTATAAGGTATAACCAGAAAACATGCCACGGCATATGCTAGAAAAATATCTAAAAAAAATATCTCCGACTAATTTATTAAGATTTTAATATTAAAATCTTAATAAATTAGGCAGATTTCTTTTTATCCGAGATGGTGGCAAGCTCGCCAGCGGATCATCTGATAGAAAGTGACAACCGCCGCCCATGGACATTAGAGTAAAGTGCGCCCGGGCTACCTCACTCACCAGACGGAACGCAGAAGTGTAACCACTTCTACTTCACGCCGTGTTCTGGAACGCACAATTACTATGTCGCTTATCATTAGAGCGGCCACTCATAACAGGATAAACAAACAATGTTTGAATTGATATTTTTCGGGTTATTTCTTGTCAGAATAAAATATTAATATTTTTTTTTAATTATGGAATGCTCAATTAACATTATTGTCAAAGTATGTAATTCGTGTAAAAAATCACCCTGTATATGTCATTCACCTGTGGTAGGGCCGCGCACTTTTTGTCTTATGTGAGAAGATGGGTGGCAAGGGAGCTAGCGTTTCTCCTAATGTTAAGTGATAACCGCCGCCAGTGGACATTTGCAACACCTACAGGATTGCAAATGTCCATGGGAAGTGGGCACCCGGACGGGCCTGCCCATTCGTGCAACAGCAAACACTGTTGCGTGGCCCTAACACCTATAATTCCTAAGTCCTACGCTTTATAGAACGTACGCAATTTCTTTTTATAAAAAACAACAAGAAACGAGAGACAGTGACTTGCTATGCTTTGAAACACATAAAAAAACCATCGAATTGCAAATGCAACGTCCCAGCAATAGCGAGTCACAATCTGGCACTGCCTCGTTAGACGATCTTCAATAAATAATAAAGTTTAAATAAATAAATAAAACTTCGGGAATTAAAAATCAAAATCGCGATAAAATTCGTAAATCACTTTCGTTTAGTACGAGCTATTTTTATATTAAACCCTAGACGTTTCGAATATTTCGCATCATTTATGGTCACTGTACCGGTGACGAATTGTCACTTCTCGTAGGTACGTCTACCGTAAACCGACAGAGTATACGACCAGTTTCATTAAAACCACGCCTTAAATCATACAAAGGCGCGGTTTAAGAAGCACACGTGTGGAGTTAATGACAGTTTTAGACAATCATTCATTCCACTATCCGTATCGCTTAATCTTCGGTCATTTGCTTAATAAATTCGCAGATACTCGTAGAAAAACGTGCTGCGAATCTAATCGAACGTTCAATCCGCATTAAGTTTTCGATAAGGTGCAAACAGTATTCGCGATAGCGATGTCAAAATACGATATAACGGTATAAGACGTTCCAATAGGTAATATTATACTTTAATAGTAAGATTTATTTATTTATACTTTATGCACACAAAATGAGAATGGTATTAAGTCCGCCGTTTTACATGACAGAGGCGGACTTAATGCCATCAGTATTATCCACCAGTCAATCTTTGGGTGGTCCAGAGTTTATTTTTTATGTCGTATTAATTTTTACGTAAAATCTCGACGTTTCATAAGAACGCGCAAGCGTCTATGTGTATAGAGGTTTTTAGAATTTGAAATAAATTTGAATTTAAGTAGGTGCATTGATTGTTAAATGGAAAAAAATGATTGTTGCACGTAAGGTCACATTATGTGAAGAGTTAACAAGCGGGTAGGCGGTTCGCTTGATGTTAAACATCTAAACACCTGAGGGTTTGCCGATACCTACGGTGTATCGTCCGTCCCTTTTCCATTATATGAATGAATGAATGAATAAAATATACTTAATCGTACACAAACAACGGATATTGAATAATCAACAAAAAATAATACAAAACTGTACAATATGGCGGTTTCTTCCAGGCAGCCTAGTAAAAGGAGATAGTGTATTTAGGTGCTTTTTTAACCTATAAGACACCTACGGAGTTTAATTCGTCCGCTTCTTCTCCATCAGGCAATCTCATTACGGAACGGTTGTGGATTGTAAAAAAAAGACTATCAATAGATGAAATGTATGTTTGATATTTCGATGATTTGATTTTGATTTTAGTGCCGCTTAAGAGATACGTTCCCTGTCAAAGTCTAGAGGATGCAAGGAAGAACTCCTCACCTGACCATGTCCTTCTGGGGCGGGTAGCCTGGGACCTGGACGCTGGTGCCGCTGGTCATGTAGCAGTAGGGGTCCACTTCCGTCACCTTCCCTTCTCGGGAGAGCTGCGCGGTCCGCCGCAGGATCACGAAGTCCCTTGGCGCGATGATCCCCCTGCCACCGCCGGCTGTCACCTGGTACGACAGGTCCACCCCTGGCCCGACCTCCTGTCGAAGGGGAGATGCCCCGGTTATCTACATGCAGGGTGATTTTATAGACGACGGACACGTTAACGGAGCATATTATGCAGGATTTGATTCGAAATCTGAATCCGGCATGTTGCTAATGCTTGTGACCTCGTTTCTCTTTTTTCTTTCAAAGATTATTTTTAATCTTTTTCAAACATTATGGACCGCCTTACCTTCTCAATGCAATAATAACCTATTGACGAGCCCTAAAACTTTTCGCTGAACGCATAATTACTAAAACTCTTAACGGGATAAACAAACAACGTTTGAATTGATATTCTTCTGGTTATTTCTTGTCACAGTAAAATATTTTTTTTTTAAATTATGGAATGCTCAATTAACATTATGTCGAAGTATGTAATTCGTCAAAAAAATCACCCTCTACGTATAGGGCATTCACCTGTGGTGGGGCCACGCAACTGTACGCTGTTGCACGAGCAGGCAGGTCCGTTCGGGTGAGTGCCACGACCTCGCAGAAGATGGCGTGAAGTGGAAATGTTATGCTACCTGCGTCTGGTGAGCGAGGTAGCTGGGGCCCCACTTTTTTATGTGAGAAAGTGGGGCCCCAGGTACCTCGCTACCTCTATCTACCAGCTACCTCGCCCGGCTATCACTTAACATCAGGTGAAACGCTAGCTCGCTTGCTACCCACCTCCTCCCGTAAGATAAAAGTGTTATTAGCGGAAATCGGTGAAAACAATTTTCATAATTTTAGCGCTGGCAACATTGTATACCGGATATGACGTTGTCTACTCGAGCCAAGGGACACATGGTCGCATGGAGCAGCGGTCACTTGGATTTCGGCTGCGTTCCCGGACGGTGATATAACATCTAGTGCTGCTTGTCGTTATAATAGTTGTTAATATTCAAGTTCAGTAATTGTTAAAATATTAGGATCAAGGTAAAATCGTTAGATCTCTTATAATACGTCCCAAGGCCTTCGTGTTCAGAGGGTATTAGGGCACAGTCCACATCTTTGAAATATTGTTTTTCTATTTTAATACTTGCACTTACAATTGCAATTTGTCAGTACGGGGAATTGAAGTCGGGTGGCTCGGGTATAGTGCGTTATTGGGACACTGAGCTATTACGCGAATCACGCCCGGTTTATGAAACACTGATCAACGTAGAAGTCAACTAACCAGCTGTCTAATGGATTTTCAAATGTTATTTGAGTTGCCAAAAGGATCGTTAAGCTCTTTGAATTGATCGTTCTGGTCATTAGGAACATCAGTCTGATCAATTCAGACAGTTTAACATTTCTTTTGGCAACTCAAATAACATTATTGAAAAGCCATTTGACAGCTGATTAGTTGACTTCTAAGATGATTAGCGTTTCAGAAACCGGGCGTTAGACTTATTTAATTCGGCCACCCGTTTCCCCTCGAAGGGGGGAATTGAACTCGATAGCGCAGTATCATATTATGGGTATAATGTTACCAACAATTATCACGATTGCTATTATTTGTATTATCTAAATGTTTGATTAGAATTGTTCTTGAGACGTAATCGTTCGTAGTTTGCCGTTTTATCGAACGATTAGCAAGTTGCTTGGCAATTAAATGTCTGGTAGGTAATTCCAGAGTGGCTTAAGCTCACAGACAACAAGATCACGAAGATCGGCACCAATGCTCATTTGGGGTTTAAGACATTTATTTACTCAAAACATTTAAAAAATATATTCACAGGAGCAAATAAAAAAATACAATAAGTACAAAAAAACTTTCCGATATGTTGTGGTTAGTCGAATAGTAGATAAGACTTCGTACAAAATGTGTGGTACGTACTAATTCGATAATTTGCAAGAGCCGTAGCGTTGTTGAGGCGTTGCCACCTTTTAATAAAGTGGGCCCCGGCTACCTCACTACACGGCTGGTGATTGCACCGGACGAAACGCCGAATTATGACATTTCCAGTTCATGCCGTTCTTCTGCGAGGTCGCGGTAGGTACTTAGCCTGACGGACGCAACAGCGAAGACATTATTCTAACTCAAACATAAAACGATTGGTGGCTGTGCCAGTCACCCACCTTGATAAATTCAGTCTTCAGTATGGTCGGATTCCATTCGGGTAACTTGGTCAGGTTGTTCTTGAACTCCTCGTAGAGGAACTTTGCGGGGCACTCCACTACACCCTGAAAGGATACGAGGAACATTACTTTGACACAAATATACAGCGTGTCGTTACAACCGCGACAATAAATGAACAAACGTCTAACGCTACTTGCCAATAAGCATAAAAAAATATAAAACGTTAAAAAAATCCATAATTCCAAAAAATATTTTTCAAACAAACTAATTAAATAAAAAAGAAACAAAATAAGGGTGGTCTAAAATTGTTTGTTTTGGAAAATTCAATAACTCGGTAAATATTGATGTTTAAAGAATGTAGATAATTAATACAATTTTAATAAGTTATCCTCTAAATGTTTATTGATTTATGGTCGCGTTAGTAGCGACACGCTGTACACATACGATCGTGCTTCGTGGCGGGGAAGGCGATTGTCCAGCAGTGGACTCGAACAGGTCGAAATGATGATGAAATACAAAAGAGATAGACCATGCGAAAAGGTAGAGAAGAATGACGAAAACGCCAAGGTTTCCTTATTTAGTGACCTCTTTAACAGATTTATTAGAGCCTCAACAAATTAGTGCTTCAACCATGAGAGAACAAATATCTGATATGACATGATTAATATACGGATGACCCGATAGCCGTTGCTAAGCTATCGGCTTCGGCGTCGAGGGTCGTGGGTTCGATTTCCACACGGCACAACTATTTGTGTGGCCATCATATAGTCGTTTCGCACCTGGGTGTTTGTCCGCGTGAATTTTGTGTTTGTTAAACGTCTTGACAACACAAGATAATGCTATCCTAAATTGAGGGAAATGTTTTTTTTTTTAAAACAACATATTTTTATCAATTAACAACATATATATAGATTACATTATCAAGTGTTGTAAGGACCTTTTACACACATAAATTTTACGTGGGCGAACACCCAGATGCGAAACAACCGTCTGTGGGTCACACAAATAGTTGTCTCGTGTGGGCGTCGAACCCACGACCCCCGCCCCCGAAGCCATTACCTTGGCAACTGCGCCATGGAGTCATCAAATAATAATAATAATAAAAAACGTACTCACAGTGAACCTATAGACCTTTCCGTACTGCTCCGTGATCGTGGACTCTACTATGTCGCCACGGTGGGAGCCCCGCTTCTCCAGCCTCCAATTGGGGTGGTTCAGGATCTTCCACGAGCTCTGCAAGCTCTCCTCTGCCTGCTGTTTGTACTCGTCTATCTGTTGGCAAAAGGATAATATATGTATCACTTAGCTGACTAAGGCTAAGCTAAAGCTATGTTAAAAACGTAAAGTATCAGCCTATACATGTCCCACTGCCAGGCAAAGGCCTCTGTACAGAGGGTGTCAGGGCATAGTCCACCACGCGGCCCCGCTGCGGATTGGCGGACTTCACATATCTTCGAAATATTAAAATAATAAATATTTTTTTATTATTATTTCGAAAATATGCAGGTTTCCTCATGATGTTTTCCTTCACCGCTGAGCACGTGATAATTCAGCACTTAAAATTACCCCGGGGCCGGCACAATTTTTCGTCCATTTATCTGCAAAATAACATAATTTAAAGCCTAGCTCTAACAGAATGGCTAAAAATTTCGTTTAATATACGAAACCAGTCGTTCGTATATACAGTCCATTTTTTTTTATAATATACCAAATGGCTGACCACTATTCTACCTTATACGTGGCAAATTAATTGCATATTATTGTTTATATTTGTTTAGAAAAAAAATGCCCCTACTTTAGGATAACATTATCCTGATATTGTAAGAATGTTTTACAAATATAAATTTCACGGGGACATACACCCAGATGCGAAACTATCTGTGGGTCACACAAACAGTTGTCCCGTGTGGGAATCGAACCCACGACCCTCAACGCCGAAGCCAATACCTTGGCATCTGCGCCACGGTGTCATCAACGATGCTTCTCAGATGAAACTAATTCTTTCTTTCCTACGGTCATATGATCGGTCGAAAGCATGGAGGGTGGAAATTATTAGACCTCTGTACTGGGGGAGTCAAAACTTACTTGGATGGTATTATTATTCGTATAACCAAATTGCGATAAGTAGAGTTCGAAGTACAAAGAAGGCAGCGTACGTCGGCTAATTAGGGCGCGATAAAATAACGCAGCGGGACATGACCGAATAATAAATGTATTTACAAGATATGAATAATCGTGCACCGATAATCTCTTGTTTTCACTGCACTTAACACACCGTTATTACATTTTTGATCAGAAGGCATTACGGCTTAATGACTTGGAGACATCAGCATTATGCTAACAACCACATTTTTAACTGACTTCAAAAGGTGAAGGTTTTCAATTCGAGTGTATTTTTTAATGTTTGTTACTTCAGAACTTTTGACGGATTGAACCGGTTTTGATGATTATTTTTTTATTTGAAAGCTGGCGCTTCCCGTGTGGTCCGATAATAATTTGATTGGTATTAAATCTTAGGCTCCGAAGATACTTAGGGAGCTCCTGAAAATCAATTATAAAATGGATACGGAGCGAGATTTGAGGTCGGATTCGTTTTTCGTTCGTAGAAAAATGGTTATTAGTAGCAAAGAACAAAATCGACTTCAAATTCGTCACTCACTATACACTTTCTATTTGATTTTCAGTCGTTCCCTGTTGTATATCCGAAACTATTGCTACCGGCCTTCTCTGAGTCCGTGATAATTCCCACCCGAAATGGGTTACTCGTGAAGAAGTTCTATAGACTATATGGATACATTGGCACAGTAGTATATAATAACTGAGCTTATCCTACCCAGGTGTAAAACGGTGTTATTGATAAGTGTATGTTTTCACGCATTCTCATCTCCTGACCTAGAAGTCTACGTCTAACCGAACCTAAACAAATGGCCAGGCCGCGACAGTTACGCGAGAGGAAATCCACAGATAACGAAAAAAACAGTTACACACAGACGCATCGCGTCGTATCTAATGACCTTATTTACAATGGAACGTTATCCGATTGAAGTTAATCGAGGCGTATTCTCCTGTTTTTGCGATAGTCGCAAAAGAGTCGGGCTCCCAATTGTTATAAAAATAACCGTAATGATAAACGTAACGTATTGATGTTATATCATTCACATATTTCTATCCACACAGAGAAACGAAAAAAAAACAAAATACGTCTCAAGTGATCCAACGATGACGACGTTTATATTATCTAGAACTTTTTATAGCCTACATAGCCTAACAGCCGATTGCATCGGTTCATCAAATCATTGTATATTGTATATGTTATATCAAAATTGGTGCCGGTTTTTAGCAGGACACTACAGAGAATACAAATAATGAATAAAAAACAAACCGAAATACAGATACAGGCCAAAAGCCTTTATTGATTTCGACGTGACATAACGTCAGAAGCGGATACTGGTTGTAAAAATACATAAAAAAAAATAGACACAGCCGAACATAGAAACCTCCTCCTTTTTTGAAGTCGGTTAATGAGAACTCTGCGAAAAACTAAGCCGCTTATTGTGAAGAGATTATGTCCGCCACCGTTTTATAGAGGTTCGGTTCCGATTCTCGGACTTTACGACTTATTATTGGGACATAACTAGACGATTCTTAAAAGTTGACAAATGAACTGAAGCGTTTTTCTAAGGAACCACTCGGCACAAATAAATAGTGAAATTCTATAATGTACATTACTAGAATTTCATATTATTATTTTTTTTCATTTAGTGCCGTGTTACTAAAACATTCATTCAACGTTCTTTTGGTTTTCATTCTTTACGACGTTTTATTGGGACGTTGACCTGAATAATTCCTACAATTTATCTGACTGGAACCTTTTAGTACAAATATCAAAATTATGTAATGGACGTCATTACAATTTATTTTATTTAAATGCCTAGTGAGGTATTTCTTTAATTAATCTTTTTGTCCTCAGTGGTATATATAAGGGTCTAAATGAGCTCCTGTGAGCCGTGCCAGAGACATATTACGCCCGAGTAGGAAATATGCAACGATGTAGTTCAGTGGCACACATATCGCTCACAAAAAGTGTCGTCGGTTCGAATTCTATGTTATTAGCTCTTAATTTATCTTATATTCTTTTTATCTTACTAATATTCTCTCTTCTTTTTTGTTTATAGAGAATACTATGTTTATCTTCAATGATGAAAGACAATATTCCTACGCCTTTTTAAAAGAAATAGAAACTTTCTGCAACTTTCTGCAATGCACTACCGTAAACGATCAACTCACCGACAACCAAACGGGATTGAACTCCTCATTGCTGCTCTTGTTGAAAAGACTCTTCATCCAGTTCGTGATGAAGAAGCCGCCCTTCATCAAACTGTCCAGCTTCTTCTCCATCTCCTCTTGGCTCTCTACATTCTCAATCTCCTTCAGTGTCCTCTTGAAATCCTCCTCCGTTATCTTCGGCGCGTCGTTCTTTATTGACTCCATTTTAATATACTGCTCCGCACGGTGAATATTAAGATGGCAAAAACGATTCGAACGTCAGCTTTGAGAAATAAATATCGTTTGGCAAATAAGTATCGTTATTGTAATATCTTCGATACACACGACCGTTTCGGATGGTCGTTAGCAGCGAACTGTTTCCTTCAATCGTCAATCGGCAGTACTCCGGTGTACGCGTGACGCGCGCGAAATTACGATAATCACATTAGCGATGTGTACAGGCGAGGACTTAATGCTTGTTGTTTTTTTTTTCCGTGGAGATTTCGGCAATTGGCACGGCTCACGGTAAGCGATGACAGCCGCCAAAAGACGTTGGCAACTTAAGAAAAATCGTAAAAGCCTGAAGATATTGTGGGTGTAGAGTGTTTTTGTGATGAGTTTACGTAGCAGCTCTCAACAATTTTAAAATTGGAATGTCGTATTACTTGTTTGTTTGTTTGTATATTCTTTATTGTACTAGAAGTTTGTACAAAGGCGAACTTAATGCTAAATAGCATTTTCTACCAGTTAACCTATGGTGGTTGAGTACAAGTTAAGGGTAGTAACGCTAAAATGATATACAAGAATTTTAGTGTCTATCATAAAGAATATGGCAAAACTAAATATACTTCATCATAAATATATATAATTACAATTTTATACACATACTTGCACGTATATATTATATTACACATACTATTCTTACTTTCATCTTACTTCAAATTGTATAAGTAGAAGATCCGAATCTAAATCGACCTTCACCGAGCTGATAATAGAATATAATTTATTTTATAATAAATTTAGTATATTAGAAAATATATTAAAACTGGGTTGCCTAAAAAAGTCCTGGACAGAATATTTTTTTAATTTAAAAAAAAAATGATTTTTCATGAAATGTTGCAACATCAAGATAATAAGAAAATATTATCCTGACTTGCAATATAAAACAAAAATATAATTTTTTTTCTATTTTCCAATCAGTGAAAGTACTTAACTGATACCGCCATACATGTTTACACCTGACAACCCAGTAGTTAGTTCATCCAGGTAAATAATAGACAACCCAACGGCTGCACATTCTATATGTTTAATATTGCAATCCAGGATAATATTTTCTTATTAATATCTTCTATCTATGTTGCAACATTTCATGAAAAATCATTTTTTTTAAATTATTAAAAATATTCTGTCCAGGATTTTTTTAGGCAACCCAGTTTTAATATATTTTCTAATATACTAAATTTATTATACAATAAATTTTATTCTATTATCAGCTCGGTGAAGGTCGATTTATATTCGGATCCTAGACCATATGGGATAGTCCGCTTGCAAATCAAAGTTATATTTTTATAACGGCAGAAATAAGTACGTATTATATTTTTTTATCCAAAACATGAAACGTGTTAAGAGGGCATCAAAATTTTGTTAATTCGAACAACTTTCAAACGATGGCAAAGTGTATAAATAAATAAATAATAGGCTTGTTAGAATAAAAGAGAGAAACGAAAAAATAAACGCGTAAATACAAGAAATTACTATAAAAGAGAGAAATTTAGAATTCTACTTAATAACGGCTAGGCATTATTTTCCTTATCAATTTATGGATAGGTATATTCGTCCAAAAACGTTAAACCATAGGGTATTTATTAATCACGTGGCATTCGCGATATCTTTTTTTTTTTAATTTAAGTAATACTTTACATATACATATATATATATTTTTAATTGTGAGTAATACATATCTAAAACTTATTCTCCATTTACATGCGCTATTGTTTTCTAACTCG